TGGCGTACGGTAATCCAGCAACAGACCCCAGATTAGCGTACGCCACGCACTGATTTACGACAGTCACGCATTAGTGATTTTAAACTCAGCCAGGATTTGACCAATCAAAGTAAGCCTATATGTAAACAGAAAATAAAATACGCGAATTACGAATACGAATATTTCGCGTGAATATTTAGCTAGCGTTCGTTAATCGCCCAGTCTGGACATCTCGCTAGTTACGCCATGGATTAACGTACGCCCGGCGTTAGATACGCCTGGCGTATCTCCCAGGTCTGAACGTAGTTGAATATTCAATGATGTTTAGAATCCACGATATAGTTAAAATATAACTAGATTAGTCCAATAGTAAATATAAAGCTAGATGTCAATCTTCGATAAGAAACTCAAATGTAGATTTATCAATTATTGCGTGAATAATTGCAATAAAAACATACCTAGTGATCACTGGGGAAAACAGTAAAACAAAATGGATCGCCGTGTTGTAGAAAGTCCTTAATCTCTTGCGTCCAGCTGCAGACAATAAACTCATGATGTAAACGAAAATAAACAGGCTGTTAATATTCAATTAGCAGTGCGATCGCATTAAAGAATGATCGTCATATCTTGAAACAAGTTTGTGGCTTGATAGCCGAGCTTGGCAAAGAGCCACAGCTCTTCGAAGTTGCCTGTGTAGCGATTGTATTGACCCAATCTTGATTCAACTGACCAATTAGCGTCGCCAAAGGTGTCGGCATTGGCTTGTAGCGATTTTTATGAAATCCAAACCTTAAGCTTGGTTTCCATACAATCGCTACGCGCTATCGCCGATAGCTTTCGGTGAAGTTGATTGGTCGGTCGAATCGGGGAGCCTTCACGATTGTATCGGGGTCTGATAAGCCATACAACTATTGTACTGAAAACGCTGTAGGGACAGTGTAACGATTGTATAGAAACCAAGCTTTAGATTACTAATTTATAATCAAAATGAGCAAACAGGTTCTCAACTTTTAATGGGACATATCGAAACCATGTCGGAAAAATACAGCTTACTACAACAATGCTAATTGATAATACAGTACCAGTCAAATATAAGAAACGGATTATTTTAAGCCTGGTTTCCTGTAAATCCCGCTGTTACTACAGTGTTTTCAGTGCAATAATTGTACTGCATAGTAGTCGCCGATGCAATCGGGAAGGCTCCCCGATTCGACCGACCAATCAGCCTGGTTTTCTTAAAATCGCTACACTGTCACTACGGTGTTCTTAGTGAATTTGTTGTACTGCAGTGTTGTCTCGATCGGCCCAACTTTCGCCCCCCCCCCCCTTGGACATCTCTGGATCCGCCCCTGGTCTCCGAGGCAATCGGAAAGGCTCCCCGATTCTCGACCGACCAATCGATAGTTGTCGATGTTTCTGTAGCGATTGTTTGGAAACCAAGCTTCAAACTGAAACTGAAAGCTCAAGGATCGTTTTTTGTGGGCGATAGCGTTACGCATGCATTGTATAAAACTAAGCTTTATCTGTCTGTTATGGGAATGGAAATTTGTTCTCATCTATTACTTCGCAACAAAAAGCTAAATTTACACTTACTAAGTGAAGCTCGGTTTCCATAGAATCGCTCACCTAGTATCGGCAACAGTCGCCGACAGTTGTCGGGAAGTTGGACCTGGTTTTCAACTGTGCCGATTGTGTTGCAGACGAATTTGGGTGCATTTCTGTCGCCGATGGGGTGAGCGGTTTTATGAAAACCGAGCTATATACAAATGAATTCAATTTTACCATTAATTTTATAAAAGGGATTAAAAAAATATTTTTATTGATATTATACCAAAGGTAGAGTCATTAATGTTGGCGCAAAACGCGTGTAGCACGTGATAAATTTTATTTACTGAGATACAGTAATTAATGATTTCAAGTGCTTTAAAGTTGCGGCATTCCGTTAAGTAAAGCTTGGTTTTCATACAATCGCTACACAACGTTCTTACTGCAATTCTTCCACTGCGTAGCTGTCCCCGCGACGCAATCGGGAACGCACGATGATTCAACTGACCACTGCTGCCAAAGGAGTCGGTGATAGCGATGTTTATGGAAACCGAGCTTTAGATACATATTCGATTAACTTTAATAATAATAATAATAATAATAATAATAATAATAATAATAATAATAATAATAATAATAATAATAGTAATAGTAATAGTAATAGTAATGATAATGATAATGATAATGATAATAATGATAATAATAATAATAATAATAATAATAATAATAATAATAATAATAATAATAATAATAATAATAAAACATGTTGATGTCAATAACAGTTATATGCAAAATTCTTGGACTTTCAACATGACTTATCAATTTATTACAAAAACAAATGTTTAAAACATAAATTGTGCCTACTAAAATATTTCAATTTCCTCTTCCTTGATTTTCTTCCTAAATACTTTCCAATTTCCAAACCTCACCCATTAGCACTCTTCCCTGTAGTATTATCATGTAGCGGTAGATCACACAAGTAAACAAGGCTAGTGGTTTCTTGTCGGACCTGATAGATTAATGAAAAGTAGATCATGTTTTTAAATTATTGTTTTCTTTCTCATCATCAATAAATCATCATAAATTCTGACCAGTACAAAGAAATTGACAAGCGCCTAGTGCCATTTTTAAGCCAAGGGATTCCAAAATATTTGAGAAAGAAAGAAAAGAGATGAAAAGATGACAAATTTTGAAAGTATATAAATAAAAACCTCAACAATGCATTACACTACTCATTTTAGTTATTCGGCCTACTAACACATGCAATGTCGCCCTCTTTTGTCATTCGTTGACGTCGTACGGCCGTACCCCGAAGGGTAATAAAATTTATCATAGCGCCCTCTTTAAAACTAACTTCTTTAAAAATTGATCTATAAATAGCGTTTCGTTGTCACCACAATGGAGTAATTACAAATCCGTTTGCGAGGTTACACAAGGAGCAACAACGTGCAAACAACAATGCATGTGTTTGATTTATAGCTTTTTCAATCGATCCAGTTGTAAATTAAGTGCTGCAAAAAACAGTTTTATGCCACTAAGTTGCGAGACGAGAAAGACATAGGGATGTTTTTCCATGATTGGCGTAAGTCCACACCACAGATATTGGACCAAGAACATGGGGGCGGGGGATTTTGACTCGCAAAACCACAATTCTCACAAAGAGTGAATTTTGAAACAAAAAAATTTGCAAATAAGGTGATTTTTAACTACTTGACTGTGATTTTTTTTAGGGGCGACTGGGTGGGGGCGAGTAATTTTTGGAGGGGCGTGCACCCCCTTAGATACGCAGCTGGGTGATAACAACTTTCCAAAGACCAATTCTTAACAAAACTCATTTTGCATATCGTCGATTTGTCTGGTGCTGCGCACAATCATTCAAATTGATCAATTATCATATAATTAAAAATTACTCAAAATAAGTTTGCTTGTACCGATATGCAGGCATATGAACATCACAAGAGCTATTGATGAAATTTTCCATATTCTCATTAAGTCACGTACCAAGTTTCGGCAAAATTAAATATAAATGAAATTAATAGAATAATTTAATCGTCTTTTTTAATTAATTAAAGTAAGTTATGCTCAACAACTTCTTCCTCATATTCAATTGAAGCAACATGGTGAATTGAATAGATGTGTTTGAGTGGGCGTTATTTATTATGTTTACAAAGGGAACCATAAGTACACCAGACTCTCTTATCTTGTTATCTTATCAAATTGGTCCGTGCTGTATTCGCTTTTCATCTTCGCAAAGAAAATTATTAAATATATACATCACGCGGAAACGCTAGCGTGATTCATTTTGAAAATTTTGTTATAATAATTTTACAACTACGTCTGTTGTAAGTAGTATGACAAATATGATAAACTATCTCTGATAAATCGTCTATGAATACTTATGACATGAATGTGGAGCACCATGTATGGAATAGGCTACCATAAAGTATTTATGTACAGAGTCAAAACCAAATTAACACTGCAGTCTCGTCCTATTGCAGGGTCAAATCAATCTTTGAACCTATATTAGGCCTACAGGATTTTCGCAACACCCGGATTTTGAATGAGTCCAGAGATAGCATAATGAAGCCATAGTGATAATGACGTCACTACGACTGCTTCGTTTAATGAATGATTAATTAGCAGTCTTTCAACCCAACTTCCTAAGTGCGAACGAACAGCAGCGAATTCAAGCGAGCGGTAAAAGAAAACAGTTTTCGAAGTTGGAAATCAGAAGTTTCGTTTCGTTTTCGTATGAACTGGAGCGTAAATAGAAGATCTGAGATTTTACGATATGTGAATGGATTTTAAATAAGTTATGTGTATGGATTCTGAAACCTTTATATAGGCCCTAGTCTAAAAAGTACTTTTGAAGAAGGTTTGTTGTGATGAAATGAGGCCATCGTTACAGCCAGAGCCTGGAAGGTTCATTAGGCCTAAGCACTCACCGCTTCGTATTCTGCCAATGCATTTAAACCTGTTTCATAGTTTGAGTATATTTCTACTGTTTTTATTATTAACTGTAAATAGTGTAAAAGGTAAGTGTAATATTGTTCATATTGGCAATGTTTAATTATGAAAAATGAGGGTGGTAAACATATTTTGACAACCTTGTTTTTGTCTGATATTTTGAACATGGCGGCGCCCATTGCCTGGACACACGACGCTTTCAATCTGATTCTGACCACAGTGTGTGCCTAGGCCTAGCCTTGGCTACAGAAACCATTAATATTCCTTGTTTGAATGCTGTTTTCTTTCAGATTGTTTATTTTCAGATTGTCTATTCTAAAGGTTAAGCTTAGGCCCTAGGGCCTGTCCCTAGACTAGGCCCTCCTGCCCTTACCTTGTCCATCCAAGTTTACAATTCACAAATATATGAGGCCTATAACTTATATCATGACAGGGAGTTGTTATAGTGACAGGGAGGGAATTTCTCCCTTCCCCATTTGACAGGCGGCGATCCCCCATCATGTCTGTACCACAACAAGGTCGTCTGACCAAAAATAATAATTTGCTTATTTGCAATAAAAGAATATTCATCAATCAGCACATCCGTTGTTTAGCATGTACTTTAGCCTACAGAAGGTACATACCATAGGTTTAATGTTGTTCGTAAAATGAAATTTCAATTGGTGAACTTGTTACAGTATGTCAAAAGCATGTTAATTAATAATATAATTTATTAAATTTGGTATCTGATTTAGACCCCTTAATAATGGTTTTAAAGTCTGTTAACTTGCATGTTTTTCAAGTATAAATAAGGAATGAATGTATGAAAGAACAGATGAATAAAATCTGAATGTAAATTTTTTTTTCTTGGCTTTACTAGGCCTACATACGTGCATTGGTAAAAGGAATAAAAATATTATGATTACGAGAAACAATGCTTTATAATATGACCCTGGAGTAACGAAGAACCTAAATTAATTATTAATTCATCTGAAGCATATTAGATATACCACCCAATACAAATAATTACAATGCTGGCTAAAATTTTGATCAATACTGAATCTGTTGTAGTCTGGTAGGTAGGCGCGTTATCATGAATGTTCCATTTTCCTGATCTGCCTTTCGTGTGCCAATGTGTGCCATTACACCACTAGACATCCCCTTGATAAAATAGTGCAATAAAACCTTTTTGAAGGACAGAGCCTAATAAACCTAATGTCACTGGTCATCTAAAAATGTATACAAAATATTAGACTAGTTGTACATTTTATATCTCAGCGCCCAGGTCCATGGAAAGTGGGTGTCCTATACGCCGCATCTAGCACTTTAAAACAAAGTTTTGATAAAAAACTAATACAGTAGTAAACTGTTCACAAAGGGTGGTTCAGCTGAACCACAAACCCTCCTCCTCCCACGCTGGTTACAGGCCTGGCGCCCTCATCGTCCTAATTCCAGAGTCACAGCAATAATAATAATTTCTTTTTGTTTTAGGTCAATGTGACTGTGTAACTGACTGTGTTGCCAGTTGTCCCGCTGGTTATTATTGGGACACAGATGCAGCAGCATGTCTTGTATGTCCACCCGGGTCATAGTAAGTAACAGCAATTTTATCGTTCATTGTTATTTATTATTTATGTAATTTATTTATTATTTATTTATTACAAATTTGTCCCAATATGTTAAAATGTATTGACCAGGGGTGTGGCTAGAGATTACATGGGCTAAAGCCCAACACATCAAACGGTCATCTCTAAATCCATGGCCAATAGCAATACAAAATACTGTACAATAAAATGTGTCTGATACCTTGGGTAGATTTACTGTACAATAGGCTTTAGAGTGGGGAGGGGGAGTCTATTATTTTAATGATAGTTAAAAAGAAGTAGGCCTGAGGAAAAATGAGTCTTTGGGAAAATTTCCTCTCATAAATGGGTATTGAGGTCCCCTGATTTTTGGGTGATATTTAAGGGTTTTCCTGTGACTGTTGTGTAATGACATTATTTTAAACTGCTAAAACATTTGCCTCAAAGCATTCTCAAAATTATTGTTATGTTGCACAAGACTAGATGAATGTACAAAGTAACTGTAGTGATGAATGTTTATTCAGACAAACAACAGCAGGAAGCCATGTACGTGATCAGTGTCTACCCACTGCCCTCGATCAACATGCGTGCAATCGACATGCGCACAACTAAAGGGTATTGTATTTAGTATACTATTGAAGGCTCCCTAAGATGTAAACATGCAATGCAAGAGCTGGTTAGCCATTTACATTTAGTGAACCTTGCGCTGTACAGGCAGTCAAGACAACTCTTGTGCACAGAAAAATGCATTTCATTCAGGCCAAGCCTCTTAGATGCACTATAAAAAATATCATACATTGTAACTTCGCAAGTACCAGAGTTGTTTCATTTGAGGCATTCTGGAGGCATCCCTCCCCTTCCCCTCCCCTCTCCTTCCCCTGCCCTGCCCACCCCCTCAATTCACCATTGATGGTGTGTAAAGCATTGTATGAGACATGATAACGTACTAAGCCAATTTGAATCAAACCTAATCAATTTACCTGAATTCCTTTGTGTTGTAACATGGTTACCAATTACCTGGTATCACTGGAGTGAGAGCGTTTAATGTGATTAGAATTCTTATTTTTCTTGAGCTGTAAAAGATCTGCATTAATGGGATGTAATTAAATATGAAGGTCATATTTTGTTTATTCCATAATTTAATTTTTATAATTAATTGCACATTAAGTATTAAGCAATTATATTAATAGGTATAAAATTGGATAGTACAGTAGTAATAAATACATGCTGTGTTAGAGTTTTTGTTGTTTGTAATGTATTATCTTTGTTGCATGATGATGCTATTGTTATCATCACCACCATCTTCATTATCATCATCAATTATCATCAGTTTCATCATCATCATCGTCTCATAGTTGTCATCATCATCGTATTAATCATCATCATAATTATTATCATCATCATTGACTTTGCCATCATGAGCATTATTATTTGGTTACCTTTTAATTTATTATTATTTTATTAAGTTGTTATTGTTATTATTATTACAAAATATAAATTAATTTTGATAGTTCTTAACAACATTAATACCTATCTACAGACTAGACGAAATTCTTTCAACAATATAAATTGTAGTCATTTTGATTGTAAAGGAATTGCTGATAGAATTTAACAAGAAAGCATTTCCAACATGTGTTAATTTCTGTATACTCCTGGTATAAGTTCACTGTTTTTCCTATCCGTGACTGTATATTATCAGCATCCACTGCATGTGAAGTAGCCCAATTGTATATTGTAATATTGTTCATTGTCATTTGATAGTTCCTTATTGGATGCCTGTCAACACCTTAGATACGTCAATATCTCAACTTGATTTCAATATCTCAACTTGGTCGCAATTAGTTAAAGCTTTATTGTAATGGAAGCTGTATTTTAAGAACATTCCGTACAGTTGAAGTACAATGCATTGCAATTTTTTCTGATTATACCGATACCATAATTACATTTTTTATACTGCTATATCTATCTTATACATCATGAAGATTATTTAAAACAAATACTATAAAGGACATTTTTTAATATGCAAGACACTATGTGATGCTACTCTGGTTGTACTGCATGATCTCTACCTAACTGCTTCAGTTACAAAACAATGTAGTAAGAAAATAAATTTAATGTTCAGTAATGAATGCTTTATTTAGGAATAAAAAATTAAATAAATATGATAGGTTTTATTTTGTGGCAATTAAATTGTCCATATTTTTTTTTTTTCTAATGTAGGTCAGGTTAGTGAAGTGGGCATAGCATATATCCCTTGACCAATCTGTTGACTGACCATACCATTCTGTGTAGCTTAATTTATAAGCACTTATCGGGGAGGTGCACTGCACTTATTCAATCCACCATTCTATACTTTTCAGCCCTAGGGGCCTACTTTTAATGCTGCACGTTATTCATTTTCATTAAATATCTCAGAGAGCATTATTTCCAGACAAGAATACATTCTAGGCTTATAGATCTAGAAGGTCTATGTGATTGTCATGGAGTTTCCAACGGAAGGTCATGTGATAATGAAGAAGCCAATACCAATCGATAACTCCCCATTGTTTGCATTATTGTCCGTAAATACTTAAATCGCATAATGCTGAATATATTTTCTTGACCTTGTCTTAAGGTGTGCAGTCTTGGCACGCTTGTTAGCTTAATGAGGTAGCCGTATTATCTTGATGTTTATTCAGATCTTGTAGAATGACTTGTTTTCTTGATTTGAAAATGGTGAATAAATTTACTATTCATAAGTAAACTAAGTGCAAAAATAGTTACCTTCTTGCTTTAACAATAAAATTTGAAAAGATTAAGTCTGACCATGTAGGCATTACAACATGACAGAGGAAATAACATTAATGGCATTTAGTAATGCAACACTCTCGATACTTCAACAGGTATTGTAAGTAACTGTAGTATAAAAGAGAGAAAGGTAAGAGAATAACCCACTCACAGCGTCATTGTGCTGAATTGCGTATGGGTGTGGTCCGTGACTACCTAGCCGCCATGAAGAGGTGCTTAGTAGCTACATGTTCACGTCATTCCACAATGACAGGGACTGAAATGAACCGTAGTATCAGGAAACCCCATACTCTACCGAAAGATGCAGCGGGTTCTTTAAAGTTCACACAAACCAGATGTGTACACTGGACCACCATTTTAAGTCCTTTTCTGAGAAGACTTGGTTCTACCAACTGAATTCTGGGCAAAGAGCAGCTAGAGCCAGCGCCAATGTTAAAGCTGTAGTTAGCAGCGCCCCAGCCTTGCTGCTCGGCCACCCGACTAACTAAATGAGTAAAATCATTAAAAATTAAAATGCACTATTTCCATAAATTTCAAAGTTCTAATAATATATTTTTATGGTGAAATAGATAGGGATAATCATATGTTTTAGAGAAATATGATTGTAAAATTAAAATCTTCCCAAAATTGGGGTTAAATATTTTAAAGAATAGTATGTTCTTCTATTTTTTTTTTACATTGCATAGATAGACTTCATTCCCTCATCATATAAGAAACAATTAAATATATACAGTACTAAGTAGTAACCTCATTATTACTGCAAAAATATAAATAATGGCTACCAAAGATGTAGAGTACTTTCACTTGATGTGGTTGTTGTTTGTATCACCAAGTGGAAAAATTGAATTAATAACTCTCATCATACAAATGCTACACAGCACACATACTGTACAAATGAGCAAACAAGAATGAGGTTTTAGATTGTCTGCATTGATGTGCAATTTATTATCCATCGATTTTTCTTGAGAAAAATCATCTGCAACAAATTTTCAATGAAAGCGATGCAAGAAAGCAACTCCCTGGGAGAAGAAAGATTCAATTTGTTGGTTGTGTGGGGTTTTATTTGATTAGGAAAGCATTTTATGACTTTATAATAAATTGCCCAAGGACAATTGCTTAAAGGAGCTCTGTGGTTATTATTTTGTACTAGATAATGTCATCATAATGTCATCATACCTTGATGATAAATAGAGTAGACATTTTGAGCTGTAGTTTGGTAGATGAAACATTCACCTTCTACTACCAAATTCCTACATTCAAATCCGGTAACACATACCAGAATATTTCATCATGAATATGCTAGTGCCAAATTTGCATAGGTAAAAATGGTCCCTCTAAATATTTCCCCCTAAAGGCAAATACTGATAGCAAACAATAATCTGAGTAGATCAATATAAAATTCAGAATGAAGAATGGTTAATGAATCACTCTAATGATATTTATATTCATAAAAACCTAGTATTATGTCACATTTCTTTATTGACCTATTTTAAGATGCAGATAATGATTATATTGACCTGTAGGGTTGCAGCTATAGAAAACTAGGGGTTGGAGGTAGACATTTTTAGGGTGGACAAGTGATAACTTTGGTAAATTCTAGATAATATTTAATAAGAGTAGGGTTTAAGGATGGGCAAGGGTGTTAATAAAGGCGGGTGGAAGACATTGAAATTAAGCTTTAGACTGGGTGGAAAACTTCAAGTGCGGGTGGCCCTGCCCACCTACGCTCACCATATCTACATTCCTGCTCTGGTCATGGATACATAAGCGGCGATGCTCAATGTGGACTTCCTCTTCCAGAGGAGTATTCATATGATAGTAAAGTGCCGCTAATTTAGCCCCAGACTTTATTCATTCTAAAATCATTCACACCATACAAGGTATTCATTTGTAATTATTAAAGATGAAACATAGATAAAGTGCCTTGCCCAAGGAGACCATGCGAACAGCTTTGGATTTGAACGCATGATTACTTGGTTGAAAGTTGAGCTTTCTGCTAACAATTTAATATTGGTCGGTATAGATTTTATTAAAGCCATTAACATACACATATTTTCATGTTAAATGCTTTGATCATCTTAGAAAAGCATACAGCATGCAAATGTCTTTAATCTTTATTATTATAATTAGAGACCAAAGCTGCTAAAGATCATGAAAACCCCAGTCCCAAAAGTGGTCTTTAATTGGAGGGAGACCTGTATAAGTGAAATAGGTATAGATAGTATGTTAATGATCAGCAGCATTGAGTTGGAAGGGTTACCGTAAATGATCGAATGAGCGCCGCTCTCGAATAAGCACTGCACCAAACTTTTTCGCTAAGCGCCACTCTCGAATTAGCGCACCATGGGGCTTAATCAAGAGTATTTTATTACCCTGTGTGTAATGAAAAACTTTGAGAAACAGGGTTTTAAATATAATATACAGTGTTAAACTGAATAAATAACACAATGAAGATAATAACACAAGCAGCCTTATAAACATTCATTTACGATGACATAGGAACTATGATAGGCCTACCGAACTACAGGGATACGTGAGATAGGTAACATGGGAACAGACATGGAAAGCGCAATGCCAATATTTTTTTTATAAGTGTTGCACTGAAGCCTCCATAAATTTTATAAGCGCTGTGGCGCTTATTTGAGCACTTACGGTATCCGTACAAGATAACGTATAACCTATGGTAGGCCTACCAAACTACAGGGATAGGTGAGATAGGTAACATGGAAAAAGGCATGGAAAGTGCAATGCCAATATTTCTTTATAAGCATCGCACTGAAGCCTCCATAAATTTTAAAAGCGCCGCAAGCATTTACTGTATCCATACACAAAATTAGGTCGACTTTATGATATATTACACCAACCTTATACATTGAATTTAAGGTACTAATACAGTATAACAAACATGGAAACCAGTAAATCAATTAAAACAGCAAATTTTCACCTGCTCTAGCAACAGTTCATTCCTTTGTCATGTATGATTATAATAATTTAGTGACAAAAGTATGTAAAATCCAACTGTGCAGTCTACAGGGACGTTTCCTTAATTAAGGACTACATAATTATGATTTTTTTATTTCACTTGGCATCTGTGCACTTGGCAGCCCGCACTTTAACCATTAATTAAGTCACTCTTTTAGATTTTGACATTTGTGTGCAAATATGTTTCCCAGTGAGTGCTTGATTATGTCATTATTTGATATTCAAACTTGGTTTGAAGTCCACTGATAACGATGTATTCTATTGTTAAAGGCATTCTATTATTAATCTTTGTTTACACTTTATTGAGCCTTGTTGCTAGGAGATTGTTGATACAGTTACTATAGTAACACTTCTGCAGTGTAGTGGAAAAACCAGACTTTATTGAAAGGACATCTGCAGTTATTATGACAATTGGCGATTTAAAAAAAAAAACACTTTTGTATCACAATAGCTGATATAGTGTAATTATATGCAATTCCAAAGAGAATGATCGTTTGGTGGATTTTGTTTTTAGTTACGTTTATAGATTTCTGAAAGCGTATTAATGTCTAAGCGGCGGAGAGACTCTAAAAATATAGGCTGTCATTAATGTAGTGTCATTCACTTCATTGGATTTAGACAACAAGTTTTGTTGTGCTGGCTGCTTCTCTAAATACCTTCATAATTACTCCATTATTATTGTTCACTAAGAACAATTTAAAGAGTGTTTAGTGAGCCAGATATAACATTACACTGTTAAAGTACTTGTAGCTAATAAGACAAACAACTTGTGTGAAATACTGTATGATTCTAAAAATAAAAATGTATCTTGCTCTCATATTATTTTGTTTCGGGCTTTGAAAAAGACATAAAAAAACAGAAGTACAATGATGAGATCACCACAAGAGTACTGTAGTAGTAGAACAGTATTTTGTTGGTAGATTCTTTATGATCACTGATAAAATAAAAGTTTGTAATTTTTCCACATTAAACAAGTGCAAACAAATTATAGCATGGATCTACAGTACAGTATGGTAAATATTTGGGGGGAGGTGGATTGTGCTGTAAAATTTTCTCCTGCTGTTTAATATTTTTTAACAGAAAAAGATATAAAATGACATACAAATATTAAATGTTACAATATTTCGTAACAGCATACGTCTAATATTTTTTAACATAAGAAGATAAAAATTGACATATAAATACTAAAAAATTGTATTGTTCTTTTTTTGTGTTCGGGACAGTGCATAGTAAAAAATGTATAGTCACTGACCAACTGAAAAGAAAAAATGTGAAGATCTCTGATAGCATCCAAAATCTGTTTAGCCTAAACAAACATCATATAACTGTTTTGTAATACTACTATGGACCTAATAATAATTCTATAAAGAAGTATGCTTTGCCTATTCAAGTGTTCCTGTTTGCCCAGTGTCTGTTCTATTTCACTGTTTATTGTTAAAGATTCAGAGTGTACCGTGGTTGCTAGCTTACACTCTTTAGTTCTTTTGAATTGGTGGATCATGGGTAAACTAGAATTCACAGAAGGTGTTTGATATGCTGGTTAGGTAGGCTGTAAAATGATACACAAACAACTACAATAGGAAATGTTTGTGTGAGTCGAGATGCTTTGTTATGAAATGTCTTAAATTAAATACATGCCTTATCAGCAAGAGATGGCAGGCTCAATTCCCGCCAGGTGTATTTTTTAAAACTATTGATAAGGAACTTTTTCGTTGATAGGTTATGCTCAAACTATCTTTACGTCATTTTACATTTATTTTTGTTTCTTCCATTATTTGATTGTACCACAGTTCTATGATGATTATATGTTACTTCTAGATGTCCAGCTTACCTCTGCCCCAATTTCTGTGGGTGTATATCAGTTGTTTAAAGAGGTGTCAGGGTTGGATTGTATCTAATATACCAAGGGCCCCATTGGCGTATGGTATGACACTCGGAGAAATCGGATTTTCTTTTTTTCCCCTTTTTTTTTTCCAGTTACATCTGCTCACTTGTTCTGCGCATAGAGACTCTTGTGTTTTGCGCAATATAAATGAATAACATTTAACCTTTAATCGTGGGCTCAATTCTTGCCAGAACTTTTTCAAACAATTAAAGGAAGTTTTTCGTTGATAGACTATGCCCGAAAGGATCTTTACAACATTGTTCCCTAATATCCAAACACTGCAACTGCCATTATTTTTTATTATACTACCTTGCTTCACAGCAATATTGATTCCAATGACAGTATTATGTCTTTCAATTCCAGAATACTACTGTAAGAAGAGTGCTATACTGTATTTAATAATGATTCATTATTTTTTCAAATCGTTTGTGTTTTTCAGCTGCGAGGGAGGCAGTGCTGCACGAGTTCCGTGCCCGACTGGAACCTATAACCCACTATCACAACAAGATGATGAAGCAGCCTGTAAGGTAAATGTAACGAGAGGAGAACATTCTGAAATCAATTACCAGAAGATGAGCCAATCACTAATAATCTGAATAATAAAAGCCACAGCATTTATGTGAATTATGCTAATTACAGGACCACATTATGGCATAGGCTAGAAATGTACTTAAATGAAAACAAAGGAACCACAAAAATATTTAAAAAAATTTAATTATTTTTACGTAAATAAATGTATAAATATTTAAAAACTGACTGGTATTACTCCATCCATGAATTTCCATGGCAGAGGTTTTGTCAAACTCAATGAAAAAGACGATGAGATGTTAACGACTTGATTGACTTAGAACAAAAATTTTATTCAAAACATGAATATTTCAACCCGTCCTCGTGTCTTCTTCAGCATGTGTGACAAACAAAATAAAAGTTGGCTATTACAATAATTATGATAAAAAGTAAAGTATAATATGATTGGTCGGCATTTTAATAGAATATAATGAACATGGTGATTGGACAAAAAAGGGGCGGAGTAACAATAGAAAAAAACTCCGCCCCTTAGTTTTTTTCAATAATCAGCTCCCCAACACTCAAGTAAAACATTGAGTAACTCTGTGTCAGCATGGTTTAGGAAAAAATACATCCTTAAAACAAAATGTCTATAGCTATCAAATAAATATCAATATATCTAATGAGAAACTCAATGTTATTTGTATGTAAAAATTAAGCAAATCGAATAAGAAATTGTAATGACGACCCTACGAACAAAATGCTGTCTCTTATACACATCTAGATGTGTATAAGAGACAGGTGTATGCACTGTAACTATTAGAAATTAATTGATAATGAACCGGGTTCAACTTTGCTGATTAGTACATGAGGACATATTATAGTGTAGCCAACACTGTAGTGACAGTATAGTGGTTTTATTAAAAACCAGGCATAACTGACACGTTTCTGATATTGTAGTATCAGAAACGTAATTTGTTGACGATTTGGTGATACTGCATTTTGTTTTTCTAGTATTTAACTGAAATCAATAAGGTTGATGTTAAATAGTTTAACAATCTTGTACATTATAGCTAAATAACAATATAACAATTTTTTTTTTCTTTTAGGATTGTCTAGCTGGTTTTTATAGTTATGGAGGAGCTGAATTATGCGAGTTATGCCCTGCTGGGCATGCGTGTCTCCTCAACGGCACAGCCAGCCCAGTTCCTTGTGGGTCAGGTCAGTACGCCCTCAACGGCAGCACAGTATGCATCACCTGCCCAACTGGCTTCATATGCCCATCGATTTACGATGCTCCGGTATATTGTGCAGAAGGCTACTATACTAGTTTGACAGGACAAATTGAATGTTCGATATGTGAAGGGGGACGAGAGTGTGTGCATCGTAATTCTTCAAATGAATGTCCTGCTGGGTACTTCAGTGAGGAGGGGGAAGCTGCATGTTCCCCTTGTGCAACAGGATATTACAGGTAAAAGTGTCAACAATCAAGAAAGTTCCTTTGTAGAGAACCCATGTTTTTTTTTAATTAACTCGTTGAATGCCAAACCCTATTTTAAGGTTCCTTTCCATGTGCCAAAACAAACATACTTTTTAAAAATTTTTATCTAGTCGTATATCATCGAAATGATGTGTCTGATAAATTTCCGGGAAAATATTAGGGGACGAGTAACTCATCATTGGTACTGCGACAGCACTTTTTATTGACTATACCAAGTGCGAGTTTTCTTGTCCGCTTTTTGCATGGGTTGGTATATGTTCAAAGAGTGCACTTACTGTACTTGTGCCACTCGAGTGTACTACCGGCGAAATAACAAGACAAACATAATGTACATATGTCGTTTGTATGTTATTGTCTAGGTGAATCTTCCCCGAACGACCAGCCGTTAAGTCTGTGGTTCTACAATGTATAACAAAGAAGTAATATATGTTATGTTACCACGACCACGGCTAGCATATTCATCCCTGGCCGCCTCAGCAACACCCTTTGGGATGAGTATACTCGTCGCTGATAGCCAACGTCTTCATATTAATATTTATAAAACTTCATTACAATGTCATTCTTCTACCACAAATGTTGTACTTTATTTAACTTGCAGTTCCACAGGCGCTCCTCTCTGTACAATTTGCCCAGAAGGTCGTAAATGTCCCGACCCATCCCAGGGTCCAGTTGATTGTGAGCAAGGCCTTGTTGCACTTGAAGGATCGAACAATTGCACACGATGTGCGTACAATGAAATAAGCGGCACAAATAACGTATACTGTCTTCCATGTCCGGCGGGAATGGAATGTACCGACCCAACCCAGGACCCAAGTGACTGTGGCGATGGAGAGTATGCTGCCCTCGGTGACGGTATATGCTCTATGTGTCCTGAAGGTAAACGATGTCCTACTACAAGTACTATGATTGATTGTTCATCTGGTAAGTATTCAACTTACAGTAACTTCAAACTAATTTATTATAACCATTTTGAATAGGAACATTATTTGGGGCTTGCTATGCCAAATCCGGTATCAGTGACCAAACAAGAAAATTGGCTTTTAAATGATGGGTCATTTGTTGGAATCGACTTACTATTTATGAGTAAAGGTATTATGGCTTATCTGTACTAAAGTATACAATACTGGCACATTATTCTAATTACTCAGTTTATCAAAGTGACGTATACTGGTTTTGGGATGCCAAGCCTCATCTACTGTATATAGGCCTTCTACTAAACTTCAAAGAGCAGCTTAGTGCGGTCGTCTAAACTGGGGTGTAGCCACTGAAAGAAACTCCACAGCTTAGCACACACACAGATTGCATACAAAGTTTAACAGACTGACTACCGGTAGCATATATGATGATATTTTGTGTTTTTCAGTTGATTAAAAACAATTTATCGACATAAAACCAATCACAATTGATTTTGACTTTTGACTATCAAGAACCAGAAAACATTTAAGTTTATTAATTAAATTAAATTATGATAATGAACTTGAATAATTTTAATTCATTTATGTGTATTGTTTTCTTTTAGGAACGTATTCAACTGGTGGCTTAACATCTTGTCTGGAGTGCCCAGCGGGGTCAAGCTGTACCATCAGCAATGCAACTCAGTGTTCCCCAGGACAATACAGTCCAGCTGGAGGTAGGTCAAAATACAATGAACTCCAGGAGTGTTAAGGCTGGCAATAGAAATATATGACCCTCAACAAATACTCAGAAATTATGTCCTTCAACCTGGCAACCTGTAGAATTTCATGAAAATTAACTTTCTGTAGACAGTAATCTGCATAGAGAAAATGGATCCATCCTAATTATTAAGTGGGATTCATCCCAATTAAGTGTGATTCCATCCCATTTGAGTGGGACCCATTAAGTGTGATCCTCTTTATCCTAGTCAGATAGGCAAATCTCAATGGAATTACTGGGATGGTATTAGAATCCCAACTTTTTAACAAAATTCCTCTTGGATTTGTTATTCATTCTGTTAGGATGAACAAATCGTCAAATCGGCAAATATAATTATATAGTAATCGTGAGGTAGTCTTTATCTCCATAGCTCATATACCCAAGTTTATATCCATTTGTATACGCAGATCTCTCTATCCCGTACAATATAGTCACATGTACAATCTTAGCCTGTCATGAAAACCTACTATCCTATGTTTGCCTCATTAACTGCAGTTGTCTAATTACATTTTAAAAGGAGAGGGAAAAAAAGTAATAATTAAAAAAATAAAAATAAACAAACTAAAAATAAAAGTAGAATAGAAAATAAACAAACAAATAAAAATAATGTAAGAGTTTGGTGATATCAGGTACTTGTGTTACATGTTGGGCAATGTGGGCCTTGTATTCAATTTTTGAATAAAGTGTGCTACATAAAAAAAGGAGAGGATAACATACCATTTTGTCATGATCAATGTAAGCGTAATGATTCATGCAGTCAATATGATGTGAAACGATACATTGCTAGTTGCCCTAAGTATATGAATAATGATTGACATTAACACATTTGGAAACAAATTTTTTTTTTTTTTCAGATGAGAATTGTTATGATTGTGATGCCGGTTACTACTGCACACCACTAGCAGCCAACCAACTTCCTTGCCAGTCTGGCTTCTACTCAGACGGCCTAGCTATTACATGTGACGAATGCCCAGCTGGTTCTCAGTGCACTACATCTGTAGTGCAGGAATGTTCTGTAGGCTACTATTCACTGGCCCGGGCAACAGCATGTATAGCATGTCCAAATGGTAAATATTAAAATAAGAGAATTTTAGTGAATAAATTTATTGGATTCAATGATGAAAATTAAGACAAAAAGAATTCAAACTATGTTCATAAAAATAGAAATGAAACCAGGCTTTTATGTTTTTCCTTTATTTGACTCATTTGTACTCTATCGGTGAACAAATAAAGTGATTTTATATATGGTGAAGAGATAGTAAATTATTAATTAAAAATATTAATAATTGATGGATTGTGCTTTTAGGACACCAGTGTAACGTGACCAACTCCGCTCCTGTCCCTTGTAACTTCGGCTGGTATAATGACGACCCTAGGAACAAAATGTGTCGACAATGTCCCGCAGGGTCTTACTGTCCAGACACGACTCAGCCACCTCAGACATGTGGTACAGGTAAGTAGCAGTTTTTGTTCCTCTGTTATACATTCCAGAAGCATGGGTTCAAGTCCTACTTTGGTAAATTTACTTAACGCCCCATTCCCGGCAAAATTTCACTAAAAAAAGATTTTTTTTATTTTTTAGAAAAAGTGCATATGCATTACTCTAATTATTATAAACCATGAAAAAATATTGGCATAAACTTTAGTATTAAGCAAAATGAAAAAAATAATGAGAAACAGACTATTTCTCATAGGAGATTACCATTTTCTTGACGATTTCTTTGTTACTAGGCAAATACAGAGGTAGATCGCATCCGCTGGAATGCTGTCTCTTTTGTGTATACTTTATACAGTCAATAACGTGTGCCCTCTCTATTGAGATTAGCCTTATTTTACATTGTTTTTATGTTTAGGAATGTCTAAATTCAGGTAAACTAGCAATTTCGTATTATATTTATAAATCTTTATAACATATATAAAAATGTTTTGTTTACTGATTCCTTTCCAACCAAAACTATCTTATTTTGCAGGTCAGTACAGTAGTGAAGGGGCAACTGCATGCACTGATTGCCCACCAGGATATGCTTAAGTAAAAGTTTAGGAACATTTTTAGTCAAAAAACTTAATTTAAATACTTTACTTGTCAGACTATTAAATATGTGCATGATATTTTCTGCTCACTACTTTACATCACCACTTAACATGATTGTATTAACTTGGGACTCAATATAGACAAAGGCTTTGTAACCCCATACACAGTCTAATGTATTGTATACTTCGTAGCTTATTGGCGTGCATTTCGATACTTAGAGTATGTATTTTACTGTCTTACCTTAGATTAATCAGTGAACCTTTCAGTTATTGGTCTCTATTGTTTTATATAATTAATTATCCACTATTTCCACCTCATACTGTTAATTTGATTATAGACCTGCTTACCACAATTTATGCTTACTGTTTTATATTGTCTTATTATCAGCTTGTTTGGAGTGTCCTCTCTCCATTGTCTTACATGTATAAAATAAATTGATTTTATTTCATTTGTACAGTTTCCTGAAGAAGTTCACTGCATGAATGAAAGCTTGTGCTAATAAAATATATGTTAGTCTTCAAAGTGCTGCCTGTCATTTTACTGTTTATTACTATAATTCAGACTAACACAGCTATACCCCACTATTTCATGATGTTCCTTTATATTCTTCAGCATATCTTGCGAACCAGGAACTTATTCTCTGGGAACTGCGATCTCTTGCACAGACTGCCCGCCTGCGTATTACTGTCCAGCAACTAACAGTGGACCAAAAAGATGTGATCAGAAGTATTACTCAGAGCTGAGAGCTGTGAACTGTACCATCTGCCCCGCTGGCTTCCAGTGCTCGGACCAAGAAGGTAACTTAACCTTTATATTCATTGCAACCCTGATATGGTTTTTTTTTTCATTCATAGTTAGACAAGATCCTGCATAAAAGGCATAGTAGTAAGTGATAGATAGAAAAATACAGTTGGTCACAGAACCATAAAGATTGAAATGAATTTATTGGGATTAACAATTTTTAAAATTTCATTTCATCGAAGCCAAACAGTGATCAAAGTCGCCCTTTACAGGACTGAATAATAAAATGTTCATATAAATAAATGAAGTATGAACATACTAAATATTATTAAAATTAGACAATACTTGCTAATGGAAACACAGAAGAGAATCACAGAAAAAATATCAGTAGAAAAATCAATTATTCACCAAAATTAATTAATTGCTATCTTTATTTCTTAGTTCCTGAGGAGTGTCCGATCGGTACATATTCCTATGAGGGTGCTGTAAGTTGCGATGCCTGCAGTCCAGGGTACATTTGTGATGAAGCCTCAAAGTCTCCCTCGCCTGACGAAGGAGTCTGTGACCCTGGCGGATGGTGTGATGGCACAGTCTTTTACTCATGTCCGTCTGGAACATACAATCCAAACAATGGATCCAGGAACCAAATTGAGGCGTGTTTTCCTTGTCCTCCAGGTATGAGAAACCCTTGTACATTATATTTCTTAATAGTCATTTTTGTCAGAAAAAATTTTGGCAGGGTACAGCTTGTTTGTTTTATTGTTTTTTACCACACACACATAAAATATAAATTATTCAACGATAAATATTACGATTGAAATTATATTTTATAAACAAACAAAAAAAAGAAGTGTGTGGTAGGAGGTCAAAATAAGTTTGTAAACAAACATGACCACCAATAATAAATAATAATATAATAAATAGATAATAATAAAAAATAAGAATAATTATGATTCTAGTTCTAAATTTGGAAACTGATGAACATTTATTTCTAACTAAACTTCTTGGGTTTCTCTTACGTAAGCCTAATAATATATAAATCATGTTCGCAATTCTATGTTATCGTTTCTCTTTTTGCTCCTTGATGGAGTGGCAAGCTGATCATTTTTTAGGTTGAGGGAGTAGAGTTATGATTATGTATATGATACTTGAGTAGGTGGAGTGCTGACCATTTTTCTTTATAAGTCTTAGGAGAAAGTAGGTATGTGTTTGATTGCATGAAGAATCTTAAGAGGATGCTTGACAATACTTGATCCATTCTTATCTTTTTCTCTTAGGGTTTTATTGTACTGGACCTGGTGAGACCAAATATGAGGACAAGGAGTGTCCAACAGGTCATTACTGTCCACTAGGAACCACCTTTTCTACAGCCTTTCCTTGTCCAGGAGGTACATACAATGATGAGCTCAATCAGACAGCCCTTAGTCCTGGATGTAAGTTGTGTCCAAGTGGCTATTACTGCGGAGAGGGCACTTCTGAATATGACGCATTTGTCTGTCCTAGAGGTTTCTATTGCTTGGAAGGCCAGTCTAGTGGTTATCAAAACTCTTGCCCTCTGGGAACCTATGGGTATGTATGCAGTGGACTAAACTGAATTTATCCTAAATAATGTAGGGAAAAAGTTGCTTTATAATGATGGTGGTGATGGCAATTGTGGTGAAGGTGGTGGTATTGGTGATGATGGTTGTGGTGGTGATGATGGTATTGGTATGATGGTGTTGGTATGATGGTGGTGATGTGGCAGTGGTGGTAGTGATAATGATGATGGTGGTAGTGGTGATGGAGAGGTGTGAATGGTGATAATGGTGATGAGATTAATAGTAATGTTGGTAATGTTGATAGTGAAGATGATTGTGATTTATTGATAGATAATGTAACATTTCAGAATTTAAAAAGACTTAAAGAAGCCATATTGATTCTTTATTAGAATGTCATCAGGAATGATAATTGAATTACAATGGTTTCCTTGAGACTGTTAAGTGTGCACAATGTTGTATTATATCGGTCGGTATTGCCTGTCTCTTATACACATCTAGATGTGTATAAGAGACAGATGTATATATGCATATATACATACCACTTGGTTAGTTAATAGAATATGATTAGCATTTTATATTAGGTATAAATTTACAACAAACAATTTTATTCTCCAGTGAGGACGTAGGCCTTGAGAATTCCACCCTGTGTATAACATGCCCTGCTGGCACTTATTGTCCCTATGGGAGTGCTACTGAACCTACAACTCAGCCCAAAGATTGTCTTCCTGGTACATACAACCCCGATGAAGGGGCAGGACATCAGTTCAACTGCCGGCTGTGTGATACAGGGCGGTCATGTCCGCTTCCAGGATCGCCAAACAGCACACATCCATGTGCTGAAGGTAAATGTAGTCATTTATTTTTAAAATAAATTATATAGACTGTCTTGAGCATCATAAACTTTTTGACATTATTTTTTAAAAATTCAACACGTTTATAATGTTTATTTACTTTAAAGGTTATTACTGTCCAAATGGAACCATCACTAATGATCAGTATCCTTGCCCGCCTGGAACATACACTGGTAGGACGGACCTTCCTTCGTCCGAGGAGTGCACGGTCTGCCCACTGGGAATGTACTGTTCCTGGGGAACTGCCGGACTAAGTAAGTATTTCTTATTGTAATCAGTTCAAGCTCGCTCAAGTGTTTCTTCTGCACTTTCCTGTCTCATTAATAGCGCAGTGTGCGCTACACATTGCATCGGCCAAGGTTGCGAACACTGCTCTGAGCGAGAGAGCTTGACAATGCGACACTGACTGTTGGTTGTCAGCAGTGGCAGTTTTGAGTGGGTCGTATGATCTGTCAGTCATGCCTCATTACTTTGTAGTCCCCTTGAGGTTGCGCCAACAAATGTCGGCCAACGCAGTGTGTACCTGGCCTAATGCCTGTGTCAGTGAAAATTGTGCGAGGGTGCGACTGACAGTCAGAGGCGTAATGCACGTCCTGGAGGCATTTGTGTTCTGGGGAAAAGAACATTTTTTTAAAGCGCAGGAGGCATTTTATCAAGCCGATGTTCGTGGTCGGAGACACATTTTTTTTCCAGGCCAGAAACATACATGCATACGTTCATTTAACCTTACTAGTTAAGTAATGATTTCATAAAGTTTTCAAATATACTGTTTTAAAATTACCTATAATTTCATGAAAAGTTTCAGTTTAAAAATACATAGGTATTAGGCTTTTAAATATTTGTCTCAACTTAGTATTTTCATTTGTTTTTTGGTATTGTTAGTGATTAATGTATTCTTTTTTTTTAAACAGATGATACTGTCAATGGCCCTCAACCGTGTAAACCAGGTTACTATTGCCCAATTCAAACACCTAGCCCAGACCGTTTTCCTTGCTTACCGGGTACATTCTCACCTTTGTCCAACCTCAGCGATCCTGCTCAGTGTTCTCCATGTACACCATCCTACTACTGCTTAGGTACGTAATTCAAATGGCATATTCATATCTTACTTTAACCTAGAGTATATTATATTAATTAATAAAGCTTGATAATTAGAAATATTGATGCCATGTCGTTGCCATGACAGACGAAAAAGAAAACAGTAACATTTTTCATTTTGTTGTCCAACAAATCAGGTGGCGAGCCTACAGAAACGGCATTGTGTCCCCCAGGGTACTACTGCCCCCAGGGGACTGAATTTGCTGAGCAATATGCTTGTCCGAATGGTACTTATAACCTTGACTATGGAAAAGATGAAGTTGGAGATTGTAAAAACTGCACGCAAGGTAAAGATTTTTTTTTTTTTTTAATTCGCCATTCCTTGTACGAGTAATAGTTATATTGACACCCTATAACATGAGTATCTTCGTAGTTAACAATAACATGTTAATTAGTATCATGCATAAATTAAAATCTTGATTAATAATTATTGTGTCTTCCTTAGTGTCTCTCCAAAATTATACTAATGATTATAATGTCATTATTGTCTTCATTTACAGCTGATTATTTCTACCAGTATCTGTATAGTTTTTCTAGTGCATGTTTTACTGTAAATATGACTGATTTTAAACTGTACCCTTTTAGGTAATTTCTGTGAGTATGGCTCTGTAACTCCAACAAATTGTTCGGCTGGTACGTACATGCCTTACGGGGTGAACATCGACACAAACACACAGGAAGGGGAGTCTGCCCAATACCAGAATGATTGCATACCGTGCACAGCTGGCTACTGGTGCGGTGTCGCAACGATAACTCCTTACGAATGTGGCACTGGGATGTACTCAGAACCTGGTCAGAGCGTGTGCAAGATTTGCAAGGCCGGGTACTACTGCGATAGTAATTCAACATCTGAATCTGATATGCTGAACAATAAATGGTGTCCAGCGGGTCAGTACTGTCCAGCCGGGTTGCACTCCCTGGATGATGCAACTGATTGTAGTATGTCTCACTATTGTCCTCAAGGTATTGTGTTTCTATTATGTATCTGACCAAGATTTATAAGAATTATTAAGTTCAAAAAACAAATTAAATACATAGGAGATTTCTGCTTACTATATTTTGACCGCACACTTTCTGTGACTAGGTTTAACATATTTTTTTCTGTAGGTATACAGTAGGTGTTACAGTGTTTTATTAGATTTATTAAAACTCACATCATTAACGATGTCTCTTTTTATATTGTTGTTTGTATCTGATAAAAACTGACAATTAATGGAAATGCAAATTTACCATATCTTAATCCAACAGTCAAAATACATATTGTTTGTACTGCCTTTTGAAAGTTTTTTTTTCCAATGTTTTTATCAACAGCTACTCCGGAAGAAATCAACTGTCCAGTTGGCACATACAATCCTGGGACTGGAATTGGGGCAGTCACTAATTGTACACTATGTGATGCCGGTCGGTATTGCTTGGAAGGTATTAGCACGCCGACAGGACTGTGCTCACCCGGTTACTACTGTCCAACAAATTTCACAAATCCCTATGGAGTTAATCCTTTATACATCGGATCATATGGACCTAAACAGGTAAATAATTATATTTGGGCTTTCAGAAACTGTAAAAAAACATGGGAATGAGGTGGGTGCCCTTTTGTGAAAAATTAAAACCTCCCTTTTGAAAATCCAGCCTACAGGCTTGTATTGCCTTTCAGGATGTTCAATAAATCTTATGTCTGCCTCATTTTTAATACTATGCAGCAAAGCAGAGTGTATTAAAAATAAGTGTTACGTATTAAATTTTTTCTAATTATTTTTTTTGATAGGTGCCCTGCCCAGCAACTACATATTATGATACCACTGGTGCTCAAGTACTTGAGGATTGTATTGAGTGTCCAGCGGGTTTTTACTGTCCCCTTGGCACAGGTGACCCTTACTCTTGTCCGCAAGGTTATTATTGTCCTGGCAACTCCTCTGCGGCAATTCCTTGCCCAGCAGGCCGATATGGTAACCGAACTGGTAAGTAACTGTTAACAAATTTTCGCTTTGCATTAGTGGTTTAGCACAGTGGTTGTGGTTTTGCTTCCCTATCTTGAGATCAGAGGTTTAATTCTTCACTCTATTCCTCACTGTATATCGCTTGTGACCTTTGGCAGGACACTTTACCTACGGTAGTCTCATTCCACCCAGGAGTACAAGTGGGTATCTGGTAGGCTCAAAAACAAAAAATGCACTGATTACAACATTATGGTAGTCTCCCCATGGAGTTGAGTATGTGTTACATATGATTGGGGGTAATAATGTGAGGCATTTATGGGCCTTTTTGCCATGAGTTGGTAAAACACATATACACTTACACAGCATTTTCCAGATAATAATACTTCAACTGTAACCTTAAGGATAGGTTAAGAGAGGTCAAGTATATACTTTGTAATTATAATAATGATAAAGATAATAATTTTTGCTCAAATATTGATATTAGCCATAATAGACATAGAAAATGACAAATGTTTTATCAATTTTCATTGGCTTTTTTTTTGTTTCCTCAGAAACCCCAGCACTGGAAAGTTGCCCGCTCTGTGACCCAGGATGGTACTGTGACTCCCCTGGTCTTGCTACCCCAAGGGCACCTTGTGACCCAGGGTATCTCTGTTATGAGGGTGCTTATAAGTCAAGTCCAACTGATGGAGAAACTGGTGAAATATGCCCAGCTGGAGGTTATTGTTTGCTAGGTATGATCTTCATTTAAACTACAGTTATTCATATAAAAATCTTAATTCCCAATAAATGCGATATGCAAATTAGTTTTACGTCCTGTAAGGCAAGACATTTTAATATCTTGTTTTAAAAACTTTTTTTTTTAAAGATCTTAAGAGGAAGGCAGAAAAAAATTAAAATAAAATTGTTTTTTCTTATTTAGTAAATAGTTTTGCCAAAAATATCCAGACGGAGGAGAAAATAAAAATAAAATGTTATTGTTGAATGTAAACATTGTAGTAATGGGATGGTTAAATACTTTAAATTTATATAATTAGGAAGAAATATACATATCTTATTTTGGAGGCTGCAAGGCAGCTGTGGGCTAATAAACATTTTTTTAAACTTTTATTTTTTTCTGAAATTTCTACTTTTCCATGGCGGCGGGTAAGCTAATTGGCCAAATATATAATATTATTCTTATTCAAAATAATAATTATTTGTGGGTGGCGGGCTTGCTAGTTAAAGTATAAAAAAGTCCTGCCCAATTATTAAGTTAAGCGAATAAAGCATAAAAATCCACACTGATAAGGTTCACTTTTGAATATGGATTGCTAGTTATTATTTTATATTGAATAAATTTTGCAATGCTTAATTACACTATTGAACAACTGATTTATCATAGATTAAAAATACTAGCGTTGCATGTCAATTTAACACAATTTTCTACAAGTGCATTTTGCCTAGGTAATTTATAGTAAGCTTATTTGTTTCATTTTTCTAGGGTCTTATGAGAGCCGTCCATGTCCAGAAGGGACGTACAGCAATGTGTCTGGTGCTGTGGACTACCATGATTGCAGGCAGTGTGACCCAGGTTACTATTGCAGTAATGCACGGACACCTGGTAAGTTAATGGCCCAACTTTTCCTTCAGTGCACATTCGATATTGGTAATGCTACCACCTAGGTAGAGGTTTGGGAACGCGACAGAGACCCTCTAAGATCTTGCACTCATTTTGCCTGTTCTTCTCAGTAGTTAAGTTGATAACAAATGTACATTTAAGTATTATTTAAACAAAAGAAATATAAGAAAATAAAAAAAATCTTTATAAATTTAATAAATTAAATGCTTAAAAAGCTGTTGCGCTTTTGCAAGTGAAAATGGTGCCGCAAGCAGCTCTCTGAGATGGATACATGCGCCTTACAAAATGCCATTATTATTATTTAATAGAGGGTTGAGTTCATTACAAATGTTCCAACCTGCAAGTTATTATGTGTTTGTGACCAATGGCTTAATGTCTCATCAGAAGGACAAGATTACAATTCTCATGTTGTTTGTGTATGATTTTGTATATTATCATATATCCGATTCTTACACTTTTGCAGAGCCTACTGGTCTGTGTGCTGCTGGCTATTATTGCGTAAGTGGATCTTCCACCCCCACTCCAGACACTTTCGCTTTGCCAGGCTACTATGCTCCGGAGGGTTCAACACAGTCATTCCCTTGTGGTCTCGGCACTTACCAGCCATTTGATCGCCAAGGAAATTGCACAGAATGTGAACCGGGATTTTATTGTCCTGAGGAAGCAATGACAAACCAGACTGCATGTCCTGCAGGTAAGATAATACCTAATCCTATCTTTAGATTTGACCAATGTTTATATTTGACCTATGTTGACATTTGACATATTTTTGGTAGGTTTGACCTATGTTTACATTTCACTTATTTTTGGTATTTGACCTATGTTGACATTTCACCTGTGTTTGATAGTGAAAATAAGTTAATTTGAAATGACCTCTTAACATTTGGCCTATTATGCTCACATATGAAAGTTTACTTTGACATTGGTTACATTTTTTTCATGTTTATATATTTAATTACAAAAGCGTAAATTAATATTTTATAAATTAAAATTTCTAATCAGGAACATATTGTGGTCCTGGAGCGTTCACCTTTGAGTTATGTCCAGTTGGAACCTACTCTGAACTGCCGTACCAGATAAGCATCGACAATTGTACAATTTGCCCTGTCGGCTATTACTGTTCAGGCACCGCTCAGACTACAACGACTGGGAAATGTGATGCTGGTCATATCTGCTATGAGGGGGCCGAGTTTTCCAATCCAGTCTACAATAATGACACATCCAATGGTAGGACTTGTATATTACATTATAGCCTGGTTCTCACGAGAGCCCTAGTATCCGGATCGGGAGCTAACCATTAGCGCTAACCGTTAGCACCTGTGTAAGAATGCCCGATCGGTTAACGCTGACCTTAAGCGGTATCCGGATACCGCTAACGGTTAGCAAGCACTATCGGTTGGCAAGTTGAACGCGTTTCTATCATCAATCAATCACACGTACGTGTTTACAATTCCCAGTTTCTTATTGGCCAGTGATTTGATCATCATATTCTTGGTATCCAGATCGGAATTTTTTTGTATGGATGCAAGGCAGCTAATGGTTAGCAGGATCCGGATCCTGCTAACCGCTAGCTTCCATGTGAGAACATAGCTTATATATCTTTAATAGAAAATTGTATTTACTGATTAATATTTTTTGATCTGAATTACACAAAACTTACATACATGTACAAATTATACGCACAAAAATAATGGACATTTACCATGGAAAAGGACTCTTAATATTACAGTTTTGCAATGAAACAAATTATTCTACATAACTGTTATTATATCAATGAAATAAAAATGTTCAGTAATTCATAAAAAAATTGAAAAAGTAACTGTACATTCTTTGTTTTTAGGCCGTGTGCTTCTAACATGGGGTGACCAGTGCCATACTGGTAGATACTGCCCCCGTGGCACACCCCACATGGTGGAATGTCCTAAGGGAACTTATATGGATTACCAAGGAGCTACGGCTGAGTCTGAATGCATCCCATGTGACCCAGGCTGGTACTGTGAAACAACTGGTCTCTCTTCACCAACAGGTTCTCTTGTTTATTATATTTTTATAGTATTTATACAAGCTAAAAGTTGCTTGTCAAATGTAGCTATTTCTAAGCTGCTCCACTACCATAGCAAGAGGCTGAGATTTTAATTAACAATCATTTACCAACACTTACCAGCACTTTTACTGGGTGCAGCTATTTTAGTTTTGTTTTGAACTTTGACCCAGTATGTCAGAAACCCAATTATGTCATTTAAGAAAGTCATCATTTCTTGGAGAGGACTGGCTATAAGGCCACATAATTAATTTGGTATTTTTTTTCTCCACCTAAGCTCTGTGCCAAGCTGGATATTACTGTATTGAGGGAGCCGATCGTATGAACCCATACGACAACATCACTGGAAATGTATGCTCTAAACGGCGCTACTGCCCAGCAGGGTCATACGATGAAAAAGTGTGTGCGGTTGGTACATATGCGAATGAAACGGGTATGGCTGAATGTTCTGACTGTCTTCCAGGATACGAGTGCGTGCCAGACAATGATCCTATACATTGTCCTCAAGGTGAGCTGCAGTAGCACTTTGGGTCCTCTAAACGAAATGGTGGGTCCATGGTTGGCTCCTTCTTTATGTTCCTGGTACTTTATCCGTGTTATCTCTATCTCTTATCCTTGGAGGATATCTGAGCACTTACTTGTAGATTTTAAGATCTTAATGGAACACTCCCCTGGAGTTGGTTCTGTTGGCAAGGGCCTGAAGTTTGTTTGTTTATTGGTTTCTCCACACTTTAACATTACAATAAGAATACAAGTTTACATAGTCAGTGAAAATGCAAGTCAGAAATAACAGTTTAATTGGAAGTATGAAAGAGTAATTCTTCAGTACTCTACATTCTATCAGATCAACTTAATTATTATCTATGACAATGTTTATGTTAATAATACATGACCTTTATCCATGCTGCTAACTCTTGTTAACATCCTTATCCATACTGTATTCAACATGTGTATAATATTGTATGTATCTTTCTAGGCTTCTATTGTATTGGTGGGGGAAGTGCAGCAACAGATCCAATTCCTTGTCCTAAGGGGTACTTCGGTGCCCATGAAGCATTGAAAGCAGAGGGTGAATGCAGTGAATGCTCTCCAGGTAATTACCATGTTGACTGCCAGATTTTTTTAGGTTTTGTCCCATGTACCAAAACAGGTGTACTTTCTTGAAATGTTATCAAGTCACATATCAAAATGGTGTGTCTAGTAAATTGGCATGAAAATATTAGTGGACGAGTAAACTCATCGCTGGCAATGGGACAGTACTTTCTGTTTCCTCTGCTAAGTGCGTGTTTTCTCGTCTACTTTTTGCATGGGGTGGTATATGCTCAGAGGGCATCCCCATTTGTGAAATTTTTGTACTGCCGGCAACGTAACACAACAACCATACATACGTTTATTTGTACGTTACTGTCTAGGTGTATCCCTGAACCATCAGCCGTTAAGTCTGTGATTCTGTAATGTATAGCAATGAAGTAATAAACACTAGAATGTTACCCATATTTTGTATAAGTATAGTCATCGCTGGCACACTCGGCAACACCCTATGCGACAAGTGTATTCCTCGCTGGCAACGATCCTGTTAACATAACTCATAATGTTTGCTATAAATAAAACTCTATCCACTTTTCTACAAATGTTTAAAAATTAACATTTTTTCAATGCCTTTTATTATTTTCTAGGCATGTACTGCAGTGTTTCTGGCTTGTCAGAACCAGATGGAAATATATCAGCAGGCTATTGGTCTGATAGACTGGCACATGAATCAGGCCCCTTTGATGATACCACCAGCACTGATTATGGACTTTGTCCTGAAGGCTTCTACTGTCCTGTAGGCAGTGGATCACCTACACCCTGCCCGCCAGGAACATATGGGTAATGGGAAGCCTAGAAATTATTTTTAAAAAGATAAATTACCTGATGATTAATGCATAGAAAAACATTTCATTTTTCAAGATCATTTTCCTGTGTGTTGTTACATTGTACTACTTTACAGCAAATTGATAGCGCACAAAGAAAGGAACGTACCAAAGTTAATAAGAGTTGAAATCAGTCCTCAAAATATGAGAGCAAATATTTTCGTAAAGAAAATCAGAAAGGAGTTATTTATAATTTCCCCCGAAATACACAGACTCACTTGTAGTGTAAAGAATTGAATATGTTAATTTCATTTGAAATACAGTGAACATATTTAATCCTATTCTATGCACAGCACCGCTAAGTCCAGAGAAAGCCTTAATGATTGCATTGACTGTGTTGCTGGCTACTACTGTCCTGATTACAACATGACTGCTGCTGGCGATGAATGTAGTGTTGGTTACTACTGTCTGGAGGGCTCATCGGATTTCCAGCCCACTGACCCAGCGATGGGTGGACCTTGTCCTACAGGTAATAATAAAAAATGATCATCATCATCATGTTGGTGATGGTAAAGAAAGTGATGGTAGTGGTGATGACCATTTTAAGTAAGAAGATAAATAAAAATGCAAATTTACTTTCGTAGGTCATCGGTGTCCAGCTGGGTCACCTGTGCCAATAGCATGCGATGCAGGGTATTACCAGAACGAGACACAACAAGGAAGTTGTGAAGCCTGTCCAATAGGTTTCTACTGCACAATCAATACAACAGTACCTGAAGCCTGCCCTCCTGGTTACTATTGTGAATTGAACACAGCAACTGCCTATGAACATCCATGTCCCGTTGGAACATTTAATAACCTCACAGAAAGATACCAACTGTCGGACTGTACCATTTGTTTACCAGGGTAGGTTTGAATGTGTTTAGAATGATTACAATTTTTTTTGCTATATGTTTGTTGATGTTTTTAAAGCAGAAATAATTATCTGCATTGCAGTAGGCTGAGCTATACATTGATACAAACCATAGATAGGTCAAAATGAATATAGCATAGCATCTGTTATCTACACAAATACACCACCTGTTTTTTTATGCTCATTTGCATATAGCTCGTACTGTGGAACACCTGGTCTCGAATGGCCCACAGACCTATGTGATCCTGGCTGGTACTGCTTGAATGGATCAATCGCTGCACAGCCAACAGACCCAGCCCAAGGTGCCTACTGTGAGCCAGGCCAGTACTGCCCATCAGGTGTTTCCAGGCCACTGGAATGCTTGCCTGGAATGTTCTGCGCCACATCACAGCTGGACTACCCCACAGGAAACTGCTCAGCAGGGTACTATTGTGTACTTGGGGCTAGTATCAGTAGTCCAGAAGACAGTACTGGTAAGTCAAATTATCATGCATTAAAATAACTGTCTATTTCGTGAATACTTACCTGGATAAACCGATAAATGCTTAAGTTTCCTTTGAAACTTACCTTTCCATATTGTTCATTCACGCAGGGCGTAGCTAGCTAGGCAAGCTAGGGCAAGTCCATTATTTTTCCTTTATGCTCGAGAGGTAAGTTTCAAAGGAAACTTAGGCATTTATCGGTTTATCCAGGTAAGTATCTCACTCATAGACTAACAACATCACTACTGATTTGTTTAATTTACATTCAGTGGTGGCACCAGCGGGGCAGGGTGAATTTCCCCCCTGTCGGACAGGCCTGGACGCCCCTGTCGTCTCAGGAACAACTAGGTCGTCGGATCAAATATTTAAAAAAAAAAATAATTTTCATATTCAAATTATGTTATTTTGATTGCCAATCCCTAATTTTGTGGTCTAAAAGCACATTTTGGGACCATAATAAGCTATAAAAACTTTCCCTGTGAACCCTAAGAGGAATTTTTTTATTCTGGGCCCTCGACCGAGACTTTGTCGGCCCCTTGGTTGGAACGCCCCCGTGGGACACATCGGACCCCTTTCAGCAAACTTCTGTGCCACCAACATATTTTTGGCAGGTCCAATTGGGGTATGTTGGATGTGTCCTACCTCCCGCTAAAATTGTCGAAGTCGAATGGTATCCCCCTTCTACATCCAGTATTTGACATCTTGGGTCAGATTTTAATAGTTGTATCTCAGAAGTGTTCAGTGTGAAGATCTACTCAACAGTTTTGTTGCAAAAGCTTTTGGCACTAGCATGGCTTTATCAGGTGTTGGTGTGCTATTCCACTATAATTACCACATGTAGAAACCATTGTTGTGCTAATAAAATATTTTGAATATTAAGTGTTTTCTTGTTTTGTAATTCAATTCAGGCGGTATTTGTCCATCTGGTCAGTATTGTCCATCTGGTAGCTGGGAAGGTGTGAACTGTCCACCAGGAACTTACTTAAATACTACCGGTAATAAAGGTATGTGAACTATTCAATCTTGTTAATGAGGGGAAATAATAGTAGTGATGAAAATCATAATCAAGTTTTTTCTACAATCTCACATAAACATAAAATGTTCCATTGTATCACATGCCACTAAATATATACTATATATGATATATATATCATTTGGGATGTAAATTTCAATATTGCTTATCACTAATGTATTACATAATGTTGTTTTGTTTATTGTGTATTCCTACAGCTTTATCTGATTGTATTAGCTGCACTGAAGGTCACTATTGCGAAGGGTATGGCAATATTTACCCAGATGATGAGTGCAGTGTTGGTTACTATTGCCCTGAAGGCCAAGAAGTACAAGCTCCTCCTAATTACACTTGCCCACAAGGTATGAGAAGCATATACATGCAGTTTGTATTGTTGATTAAGTAGTTATTTAATTCCTTATTATATGATTATCTTGAACTACTGTAGTATACTGTTGGCTAAACTAGTCTGCTGCCCTCACTGAATTTAATGTACTCTGCTCATGATCATGACAAGTTCAGGATCTCAGTTAAGAATTTTTTTTCCATTTTAAGGTCACTATTGTGAAGTTGGTAGCATCGAACCTGTTCGCTGTGAGTCAGGAACATATCAGGATGAAGAAGGTCAAGGGTCATGTAAACAGTGCCCAAGAGGTTACTATTGCGATAACACTTTAGAGCCAGTGGTCCTCTTCCAGAATTCCACCTGTCCAGCAGGTAACTTGAGTCTGTTACATTTCAGTTAATTTGCGAAGCGTTGGTATTCATGTACTTCTCTATGTTATCCCAACCATGTCAGCCATAGAATGGGAAGTATATTTTATTCGAATGGGTGTTCCAGAAACAAAGGCAATGTGTCAGTATTCATGAAATAGACTGTCCTATTAAGTATTGACCAGGTGTGTTGTTCTAACCACAAGACTGGATACTTTTGATTCAAGGTTGATTTGCTGTTAGCTTCTGAAGTACTTAATTAGGTAAAACCTTCACCATCAGTTTTTTATTGAGTCTCATTCCTGGGCAGACAAAACCTTCAGGTATAGGAACTTGTTCCTACATTTTTCTGACCAGCCCTCCTCTTTCTTTTGTGTATATTTAAATGGAGAGGAAATAAAGATAATATTATCTAATAGAATGGGGAGGAAATAAGATAATATTATCTAATAGAATCTTACTGTTGATGTTTTTTACTGTTTTTTGTGTATCCGAGGAAATCAAATTTCAATTTTATTGTTGTATTATTGACAATAAAATTACTTTGAACTTTGAACTAATACAATGGTAATGTACAATGATACTCCCAACAGGCTATTATTGTCCAGCTGGAACTCGGTATGCTTATGAATTCAAGTGTCCAAGAGGTACATTTAGTAACCGTACCGGTCTGAATGAGAGCGCAGATTGTAACCCGTGTCCAGGAGGCTACTTCTGTGACGAGGAGGCGCAGACGACATACACTAAGCTTTGCTCTCCCGGGTTTGTTTGTACTTACTTTATTTATTTTCGGAAATTTATATTAATATTTCGAAAAAACTTGGCATTTATATATGCATGGTGTTGATTTGCTTAATTTTATATAAAAGAAATTTTGATCTTGAAACGTCTTTAAGAATAGACCATTAAGGTACTCATTTAAGAAGATTAAATAAATTATCTTCAAATGAAACACTAATCAAAACACTAAAATTTTCACTAAAATATAGAAATTGTGACTGTTAAAATCTGTAAATTCATTTATGTTTGCCACCAATCTAAAGGATCTATGTGAAAATATAGGAATAGTATTATGCATCTATTTATTGGCCAGGAAATCATATTTTTAAATAACCTAAATATACAAAATAAGATACTTAAATAGTTCATTTTAATTTTTTCATGTTTTTTGTATTTCAACAATTGATTGATATTTCTAACTTAGATTACTTATATTACATAATATTTTTATATTGTCTAGGTTTTTCTGCAGAAGGAATGCCATTGAAGGAACACCAGATCAAGGAGATGATGCTAATGTCTGTCCACCAGGTTACTTCTGTCCAGAAGGAACCGATGAACCTGAGAGATGCCCACCCTCAACATATTCTTCAGCTATAATGCTGGAAGCGATTTATGAGTGTAGCAATTGTACAAAAGGTTCGTTCTGCTGTGATATTCCAACTTTTTGTTTATCTGGAATTTTACTTGAGTGATAATGATAGCAAAGCAATGGCAATCGTTGTTATTATTTTTATTTATTTATTATTATTATTATTTTTTATGATGGTTGTTATTAGAAATATTATTTCTGTTTTTTTGCACATTTAAAAATATTCATAAATAAAATACCGCAGGTTACTATTGTGAAAGTTACAACTTGATAGAGCCAGATGGACCATGCCTGCAGCAATACTATTGTCCAGAAGGATCAGTTCGCCAAGACGAAGTTGATTGTCCTGTTGGTCATTTCTGTCCAAATGCAACGTTTGACCCAGAACCATGTCCAAGCGGTAAGTAGTGATTGAGTACTATTTATTTAGCAGCAAAGTTAAGTTGGTTAACAAGGTAGAGTTTGCTGTACATACTGTGTATGTTGAATCATGGAGTTCTTTCAGGCACTGTTTCAATTACATCACTACTTTCCTTGTGTCTCATCAGAAAGGCCAGATTGCTTGTACCACAAGCAAGCTTGCGCACCACATTTTGGAAGAGAATTTATGATTTTTGATGAGCTCTATTACATTTACACAGGGAACATTATATGTGTATTTTTCTGTACTTGCATTAGGCCTTCCATACTTTGATGAGGTCTTCCATACTTGTATGATTTCTACCATCACACTTTCAGTCATCAATTTAGACCATTCCAAATTTTGGTTTTTTTTTCAGGAACCTTTTCCAATGAAACTAACTTAGCATCAGCTGAAGACTGCTACCCATGTACTGGTGGCATGTATTGTGAAACAGAAGGATTGACTGAGCCTACAGGATATTGTGCAGTTGGTATGTAACTGAGTATTTCATACTTGTTTGAGGCCATCTATACTTGTGTTGTGTGAGGTCTTTAAAAAAAATGTGTAAGGACTTTGTGAGACCTTCCATACTTTTATGAGGCCTTCTAAACTTTTATGAGGCCTTCCATACATGTGTGAGGCCTTCCATACATGCATGAGGATACGTACTGTATATCCATGAGCCCAGTTGTAATTTTGTTGCCTTTCATACATGTGTAAGTGCTTTCATACTTGTGTAAAATGTTCCTTACATTTGTGAGGCCTTCCATACATGTATGAAGTCTTTCATACTAGACCTTAATGTTTATAACCGATGATACAAACTTCAAGAAATGTTAAATAATTTGTTTTGAAATTAGTTAAAAATATGGTATACCTATCAATCAATTATTGTTCTTATAAAGGCTATTATTGTCCACCTGGTACAATCCACCAAGAACCAGAGGACACGTTCTGTCCAGTTGGTAACTACTGTCCTGGAGGCGTTGCCTATCCTATTCCATGCCGTAACAACAGTGAGGTGAACCATACTCATGCGGAGATGTGTTATGAGTGCCCAGCTGGCTACTTCTGTCAAATCCAGGGGTCTAAGGAGATCTGTCCAAGAGGTTACTACTGCCCTCAAGGCACAGGTAGGTGCAACTGATTTAAAGTCATGTACAGTGCCATAGATGCTGCATTAGGTATCTGAATGGTTAAAACGCGGGTAATAACTTCAACCTTCACTCCTGTGACTGTAGGTTTGAATGATAGTTCCAGGGAAAAAAGAGTACTATCAAGTTAAATGATAGTAATTTTTTGCCCTGTCGCAATGTAATCTCTAGGCCCCACTTATACTGTTTCTATGTAATTTATGATACGCAATAGATTTCACCATTCTCCTCATGAGCAGTCAATATTTGTATACTATATTATTATTAAATTTTAGAGAAACGTAAAATATTAAATATGATAGATTGACAAAAATTAGAAATATTGTATTTAAAATGTCAATTTAACTAGCTTAGTAAATTGTCAATAGAATTATACTTGCATGTAAAAAGAAACACTTAACTTAATTGAACCAATTTTCATTTTTAGGCTACGATCTACAATCCTGCCCTCGTGGGACTTACAGTGACCAGGAAGGTAACTATGAGCTGAACCAGTGCAAACCGTGTGATGGGGGCTGGTACTGCGATGAGGAACACCTACCAACACCAACCGCTGAATGCGCTCCTGGCTACTTCTGTGTGTATGGAGTCGACCGGGCTAAACCCAACGGTGATAACATTACAGTGGTGCCAGTGAATGACAGCTGTCCATACTTTGATGACTCGCAGACAGGCTTTGGAGGGCGCTGCCCTCTTGGACATTTCTGCGTGCAAGGTAGTATCTACCCTGAGGCCTGTGAGGCAGGTACATACGCACCTGTTGAAGCTATGGACCATTGCCTACCCTGTGAACCAGGTGAGTGTTATCAATATGTTAACCTTCACATGAATATTCATAGTTTTATTTGCATATAAGTGGTCTAATGTAAATAATTTTTTTTTATAGGATTCTATTGCGAGGCACAGGCAAGTAATTACACAGATAATCCTTGTCCATCTGGTCACTATTGTCCTGAGGGAACTGAGAGGTCAACACAATTCCCATGTCCACCAGGAACATTCAATAACCTGACTGGTAGCATTAACATCAGTGATTGTGTCCCATGCTTAGGTAAGGATGTTGTAGATGAAATTTGTAGATAAAATGTCATTTGGTGTGTAAATTATATAGCACCTCGGTTTTCAAAGAAATTATTACAGTATTATGGAATAATATTGATCACAGGGCAAATAGAGCAAATACAGTTAAACTTGCCTAAATTGACTGTGTCGAATAATTTCTAAGTCGATCTAATTTTACATGCCAAATTGATGTGTTTTCCATTAATTAACAATCTGTAAGTCAAATTTTATCTAAGTCGAACAATATTTCAATGGCATTTTGGATTCGACTTAGGCAAGTTCAACTGTACATTCATCTTACTGTGTTAATTCATAGTTTTTAAATTGTATAAAATAGTTGTTGATTGTAAATAAACAAATTATTTTTTAGAGAAGTGGGCATATTCCTATTGTCTTCTTATTATAACAATTATAAAAATAGATTTTGATTTCCATTTTGGTTTTCAGGTGGTTCTTATTGTGCGAGTGAGGGTCTTACCTGGCCTACTGGCCTATGTGAAGGAGGATACTACTGCAGTGGGGGCTCTAACACCAGTACCCCAAGTGGGTTTGCAGGGGACCAGTGCTCGGCAGGTACATACTGTCCAGAAGGGTCTACATTCCCTACAGCTTGCCCTGGTGGCCACTACTGTGCTGTAGATAGACTAGCCAACATCTCAGGAGAATGCGATGCTGGGTACTACTGCTACTTAATGGCTGTTGTACCAAATCCAGAAGATGGAAATGCCACTGGTATGTCATGAATATTTATGAGTTATTTGAATATTATAATCAGATCTCAATATTTACAAGTGTTTAGAAATTCATAAAATATTTGAATATTCATTGAATGTTTGAATGAGCTGAGCTTTTGGCCGAGATGTATTGTTCCTGCTTCTTTTGCTGAAGACCCCGGTTCAATCCCGGCCAGTGTGGGGGCTTTAATTTGAGTCTGATAGCTTGGTTCCTCTAAAAGCCCTCATATTGAGGGTTAGATGGGTTTAGGACAATGTTTGTATCCGTATGTGTCCGTTTATATGTTGTAATTAAGTTGGGCGCCGCTGCACTGTGGCGGCTGCAGATCCCTAGGGGCCAGCCCGAATTTTCAATTCCGATTTGAATGAAGACCGATGAAGAATTATTAAATATTAAAAATATTAAACAATTGTTGAATATCATATTTTTGAATTGTCAAGACATTTTCACCACAAGATAATAATACAACAATATTTCTATATTGATTAATTATGGTGGTAATAATATCATTTCCATTTTAAGGTCTACATATTCATGTCTAATTTAAGTTTGTGTGAAATCGATTAAAGCAGTGACGAACGTTAAGGCCAAAATTTATCAACACAGCTTGTGCTTCATGAAACTGAATTTCTTCGTCTTATGTAGGTGACCATTGTCCGATGGGAGCCTTCTGTCCTGCAGCCAGCGACTCCCCAACTCTATGCCAGTCTGGCACTTACTTAAACAGCACCCACAATGATGATGAGCTAGACTGTCTCCTGTGTGTTCCTGGCTGGTATTGTGCTGGTGGGGGGAACGCATTACCTACGGACAAGTGCTCCAGGGGCTACTACTGTCCTGCTGCACAAGATGAGGCTACACCTGCTGAATATAATTGTACACAAGGTAAGATAGATCCCATTTTTTTATACTGCAGGTAATGAAAGTTATCCAATCTAACCGATCATCTGGTGCCTTCACATTAAAGCTTATTGAACTGAAAAAGCCATCAAGGGCTGAATAAACACTCATGTGGCACACAGATATGCTATATACATGTAATATTATTTCTCTCAAAATATATATCAAAATGTATAGTACCATACCTTTGTAATAAAAGATAATCAGTATGCTTAACAAATTTGTAAATATAAATAATTGATAGATAACTCCCATATCTGCTGCAAGTTTGAAATCATTATATTAAATATGTTTAAGAAGAGTACTTAACAAACCACCTATCTTGGTTTTATGTGTAACATATTTATTTTGTTGCTTGATTGTTTTACTGTTGAATGTGGACCTTTTCTGAGATCAGTACTTATGTATTAAAAGAGTATTTCCAGTATAAATATTGAATTTGAATAAATAAGTAAAATTAAACAGATCTGCTATGACTGTTTATTCTTTTACTTTTTAGCTAATTTAGTATTTGTATTGTTATCGAGATTTAATCATTTTGAACTTTTCAATTGCCTAGGTCACTACTGTCAGCAAGCCAGCATAGAACCTCTCCGTTGTGAGTCAGGCACTTACCAAGACCAAGTGGGCCAGTGGGCATGCAAAGACTGTCCAGCTGGGTATTACTGTGACAACGTGATAGAACCTGTTGTGTTGTATAATGACTCATATTGCCCCACTGGTAAGCAGGTTTACATATCATCAATAATTTGTTTACTTTGTTTATATACCTCTGTTTTACTGTTATTCAGGTCAGCAGCTGGTGATCTTAAGTAGTTAATAGTGCTCAATATTTTGAAAGATTTGTTTAAATCATTGCTTTTGGATTTATGGTATATTGGTTGCGGAGTTCTGCTGAACAAAGCGGTGGTCTGTACAGAAAATGAAAACAGTATGCTTTATGTCTTGGTCCGACTATTCACATGTTTTCCATTTAACTTCCAAAGGTCACTATTGTCCACAAGACACCAAATATGCAAATGAGTTCCCATGTCCGCGTGGAACATTCAACAATCTGACGCACAGGACAGAAGAGTACGACTGCCAACCTTGCTCAGGGGGAATGTATTGCGAGACAGAGGGGCTCTCGGAACCTACGGCATTCTGTAGTCCTGGTAAGCAAACCGCTTATCTTGTTAAACTGCCATGAAAAGATAGCTTATTCTTAAGTTCAAGATTATGGTAATACTTTCATTAAGATTACTAAAATTACTTGAATATTTCGAATGCATTAATTATGATAATGAAATCTTGTTTTTTAAACACTACTTTAATTATTTTTGATTTCTTAATTAGTATTGCCTTATTGAATTACTTAATTAGATAACTCATGTTATTATTTAATTAAGATCATTTGAATAATTAGGAGGTAAATGTTATGATAAATTAAATCTATTTTAAGATTACTTTAAATACTAATTAACAATGTAGTGAATATGATTGCTTAATTGAAATTACTTAAGATGATTTAATTAATCTTGGTTAACAAAAATATTACTACTGTATATATACTTTTAAACGCTCATAAAAAATTATTTATTTGCAGGTTACTTCTGTCTGATTGGCTCAAATTCTTCAACACCGTTGTTTGGAAGTGATGCTGATGAGTGCCCAGTTGGTCACTATTGTGTTGAGGGCACTGTTCAGCCGCAGGCATGTCCACCAGGCACTTACAACCCAAGCACACGCCGTGAAGCAGTGGAAGAATGCTTGAATTGTACGGGTGGTCACTATTGTCCAACTTATGGGATGAATGAAATAGGACCATTGTGCCAAGCAGGTCAGTTTTTTTGAGGAATTGGAGAATAATCCAATTCAATCCTACCAAATATTTGTATTGAATTAAATAATATTTGTATCATGCCCATATTGTTTAGTTTCTAATATAGAGGGCGCTTTAGTTTCATGGTGATTAGATTCATTGCAATTATTAACAAAGTGGAAACATTGTCATACTTTTGGAAGTATTCCAGTTATTCTGCATGAGTCTTCTCTCAGATTTAATTTTTTCTTTTCTTTGGAGGATTACTACATGTATTTTGTATGAGTATTAACATAAATAATAACATTTTATATCATAATATGTACACTTTACTAATGATCTAACTGTTTACAGGTTCCTATTGCGAGTCTGGTGCGGACAATGACCAGTTCATCCAGTGCCCACCAGGAAGCTTCTGTGTGGAAGGATCCACTCTACCGGAGCAGTGTCCACCAGGTACCTACAGTAGTGCTAATGGCTTGACTGCAGAATCTGAGTGCACTAATTGAACATGACAACACCTCTGAAGAATACTCAACCTGAGTTGAATCATTAGTGTACTATATAACTATTTACTGCTTTATATTATACTTGTATTTTTTTTTTATTTATCATTATTATTTGTTAAAATAATTATCACTTTTAACACAATTATATTTATAATTATTATCAACATAAATTAAAAACATTTTTTGTGCTGTACAGGCAACTGTAGTAGAGGTTACTACCTGTCTCTTATACACATCTAGATGTGTATAAGAGACAGATCCTGGGTTGTCCTTCTTTGTTTACATGTTTTTGTTCACACCATTTTCGCCAAATTTGAAATCAAAATTTTTCGAGAACCTGGCAACTACCACTGGGGGACATCCAGAGGAATTTTGTTTAGTTACCAATGTTTGTCTGTGTGTGAACAGCTCTCTCTCTTGCCTAGTCTTTGGAAACAAAATGCCAAAACAAAAAAAAAAATAAAATAGGGGTGCATAAAACCTGCAGTGTTTGGAGTTGTTTTGTTACTGAATGTCCCCCAATGAAAAGTTGCAAATCTTCAGACGTTGGTGGCACTGTTTAAGCATGTATAATCTTATCAATATCATATTGTTTTATTGAGTCTATTTCGTGAATACTTACCTGGATAACCGACTAATTGCCATTGTTCCCAAAACGGAACACCCCTTCGAAAATAATGGAACAGTCCGACCCAAGGCGCCACGTGCGAACCGTCTCCCTAACAAACGTCCTCACGATCACGATTGATTTGTGTATTTTGATCAACAGGTACTTTAAAAAAAAAATAGGCCTACATATAAAATAATATATTTTTGGCTTGCAGGTAGTGGAAGTCCCATCCCATGTGATGGAGGCATGTACTGCCAGGTCGCTGGTGGCGCTGTTTAAGCATGTATAATCTTATCAATATCATATTGTTTTATTGATTTCCATCAACAGGTACTGGACTTGATTGGCAATCGTGTCCTGCCGGTACTTACAGCAACGCAACCCATCTGACTGACCAATCTGAATGCCTGCCTTGTGATGGCGGCAAGTATTGCCAAGGCACCCATCTAACTGAACCAACTGATGAATGTGACCCCGGCTTCTACTGTACCTCTGGGCTTGATCGGCCAAACCCTGGAGCAGCTAATGTTACCCTCAATGACACCAGCTGCACCTGCCCTGAACAAAGCATCTATACAGGTAATATTATATAGTCAATTCATTATTAATAATTACATAACCCTGATTAAAAAAATTTTGGAAAACCTGGACATGTGACATATGATCCTAAAACTTATTAAACATTATTAAACATGAAGCTGAAGTAGTTTAAGCTTGACATTTTCTCATGAATCTCATGCTAATAGGTGTCGGTGGAGTATGTCCAATTGGTCACTATTGTCCAGGAGAGACAGTTACTCCAAAACCTTGTGAGGCTGGTAGTTATGCAGCAGTGACGGAACAAGCAGCATGTACTGAGTGTCCAGAGGGCTACTACTGTGAAGTTGGGTCAACAGGATTTACAAACTTCTCCTGTCCTACGGGTATGTAAATGCTATGTCTCAGCTTTTGGCAAGTATGAAATGGCATCTGGCTTAGATTTCTTATTAACTTTGTGCAGCCCATTCAATTTTATTTCTTGTCATCTAGGCTTAAAATTTTATTTTGGTAATTTACACCTAGTAAGCCTGGTCCTTTTGGCCTACGTATTTACTTTTTTTTGTCAAACTTAGCATCCTTTGCCAGTAAGACTACTGTTAACAACATAAGCTTCTTACTTTCTAATTTTTCAAAACACTGAATCAATTATTGAATACAAAGCATAAAAAAATAAGATTGACATTTGTTGTTCCTACCTCTTTGTAGGCCACTACTGTCCAAATGGCACCAGGTATGCAATTGAATTCCCCTGCCCGCCTGGTACATTCAACGCACTTATAAATGGAATCTCCGATGCTGACTGCCAGCAGTGCCCACCTGGAAAATACTGCGAGGGATCCGGGAATAGCAATTATACGGATGAGTGCGAAGACGGTTGGTACTGCGAGGGAAGTGCAACAATGCGGAATGACACAGTTCATGGTGGGAAATGTCAACCAGGCTACTACTGCCCAAGAGGTTTGTGTTTTGAATTTTCTCTATAAAACATTTGATGTGTAAAATTAATGTTTTCTTAAACTCTGATGTGATGTCATCATGACCATATTTAGGCTTGTCACATGTTTTTGATGGTCTGGACCAGGCTTTAGAGGCTGGTGGAATGTGTCGCGTTTCATTTAAATATTGAGTGTAAAAATAGGCCTACATATAAAATAATATATTTTTGGCTTGCAGGTAGTGGAAGTCCCATCCCATGTGATGGAGGCATGTACTGCCAGGTTGCTGGTCTTGATGCACCCACAGACTTCTGTGCTCCAGGCTTCTATTGCATACTAGGAGCTACAACAGCCACTCCCACAGATGGTATGGAGGGTGATGAATGCCCTGCCGGGTACTACTGCGAAGAAGGCTCTCCCTACCCTAGAGGCTGTCCACCAGGAACGTTCAGTGATGCTGTCAGAAACGAGAATGTGACCGACTGCACACAGTGTCTGGATGGCGAGTTCTGTGGAGCTTATAATTTGACTGCTCCTTCTGGTAAGTCCAGTCTTCTTATCATTACTAATAGTGACTTACAGTGATGTATGGAAATTTAGTAAATAGTATTTAGTGTCTTGATAAATCAACATGACAACACCTCTGAAGAATACTCAACCTGAGTTGAATCATTAGTGTACTATATAACTATTTACTGCTTTATATTATACTTGTATTTTTTTTTTATTTATCATTATTATTTGTTAAAATAATTATCACTTTTAACACAATTATATTTATAATTATTATCAACATAAATTAAAAACATTTTTTGTGCTGTACAGGCAACTGTAGTAGAGGTTACTACTGTCCTCGAGGTCAGAGCGACATCCAAGCATTCCAATGTCCAGTTGGGCATTTCTGCCCAGAGCATACATTCGATCCTTTCCTATGTCCAAGTGGGACCTACCAGGCTGACTCAGGTCAATGGGATTGTGACACTTGTCCAGCAGGCTACTATTGTGACAAGTAAGTAAAACTTAATTTGAACATTGATTATATAATGATAATAATTTACAATGATAATTTCAGTGGTTTTCTGAGTTACACCATGTAACACAAGTAGATAATACTATATCTCTGTATGTTACTGCTGTATATTAATGTATTACTATAAATGTATTTTCTTGTTTTTAAGTAATGTATTAATAAGCAATTATACCATTGACTCTATCCTTAGCTCTCTGGGTGTTGTGGTCATCAACGATACAATAACTTGTCCAGCTGGCTACTACTGCCTGTCAGGTACAAAGCGTGCTGATCAGTACCCATGTCCAGCTGGTACATATGGCAATGATACCGGTTATGATGAAGTTAGCGATTGTACTCCCTGCTCTGGTGGGTACTATTGCGAGGAGGTGGGGCAAACAACCCCAACTGATCTGTGCGAGCATGGGTTCTACTGTCGACAGTATGCAAACACGTCTACGCCAGACCTTGGATACGATGCTGACATTTGCCCTCAAGGTAAGTCTGTTTTGTAAATTCTTATTCCTGGATAAACCAACTAATTTTCACTGTTTATTTAAGAACACCCCTACAATAATAATAGAATCGTGACTGCAACAAGTTAGTTTATTATTTGGTAGATTGATTGTGCAGAACCCTTTCTTTGATTGTACATAAACAAATACAGTAAGGTAACAACATGTAGCAGACTGATAACAAATAGAATGTTTATTTTCTAGGCTCATACTGCCCAACAGGAACAGCAGAGCCTGAGCCATGCCCTCCAGGCAGGTTTGGTGCCACAGAAGGCCTCCAGAACTCCACTGACTGCACACTGTGCCTAGCTGGTTGGTACTGTGAAAGCTCTGGCTTACTGTCATCTGAAGGTATGAAACTGCTCATGTATATACTAAAGGATTATTACCAGTGAGTGAGTTCCTGAAGGGAGGAGTTGATTGTGTCCTGTTACAACTATTAATATTGGCAAATTCATTTGCTGAAGTCCTGAAACAATTGCCACACCCTTTTTCATACTGCTCAGTTATAGAAATTTTGAATTCTATTGCAAATATATAATTTTGTTTAGAATTATTCTTGTAAAACTACACTAGCATGAAGAACATAATTGTTCGTTAGTATTTCAATGTTCAATTATCTCCTAAAGTTAATTATAGAAAAAATTGTGGTAAACTTTATTTTTAACTATTTATAGTTATAGAGACCACATTTATCTGTGCTATATAAATCCATCTATTATTATTATTATTATTATTATTGTCTTACTCTGTTAATCTCATTTGACATTTCAAAGCCAAAAAATCTAACAAATCAGTAACCATGTTCTGTTCTCTTCCTTTAGGCCTGTGTAGTGCGGGCTACTACTGTCCCGCGGGATCTGATTCCCGCACTATGGAAGTATGTACACCTGGTAACTACTGCCCTGAAGGATCAGATTTACCTGTTGCTTGTCCAGAAGGAACTTTTAACCCGTATGAAAGATTAGAGAATGAGACTGAATGTGTGTCCTGTACGGCTGGTAGTTACTGTGATATGCAAGGTAAAAAGGACAAGATTTAATTTTAAAGGTCTCCCTCTAATTAAATAATTTGATAGTGTGGACAAAGTTTTACACTACAAAAAGTACTAATTTGATGACATCTTTGATAATGACTGTGAATTTGCATAAATTTGTTTGTATCTGCTGCAGTTGATGCATCTTCGATTAAATTGATTTCAATTAATGGTACTCTTAGTTGGTGCTGGGAATACAAATAGCTATCATGCTACAATGTGCTCAGTTTTTTTGATAATTTTTCAATTATTTTTATTATTTTTAAATGATTGTATTTGTACATTAATTGTTTTCATTATCTCTGACAAATTTGTGTGTAATTATTATTCACCTGTCTGTCCTTAGAATCACATGCTATAATGTATTTCTGATAAATTTTATATTTTATATCCTAAAGGTATGATCACCCCTGCTGGCCCATGTGAACCAGGCTATTATTGTCCAGGTGGTCAGAATGACTCTAGACCTGTTGAATATGCTTGCACCATTGGTCACTACTGTCCACTGAATTCCAGTGAACCCCTTCCCTGTGCTAACGGAACATACATGAACCAAACACATGCATCGGACTGTTTTGTCTGTCCTGAAGGATGGTAAGCCTTTTAAAACAATATTTTGCTACAGGTCTCTCTAATTAATTGCCCGACCAATGAAAGACCACTTTCGATTAAACACCATCTTCCTTCAGCCCAAATTAATACCTATCTTATATCCTTTTGATAAAGTTTTTTTTTCTAAGTAAAGACCAAAGCTGCTAAAGACCATGAAATCCACAGACCCAAAATTAGTCTTTAATTGGAGAGAGACCTGTGTGTTTTTTATTTTTGCATCAATGTTCTAAGTGGTATATGTTGTTGTTGCTAAGTTCTAGGGACTCTCAATGCATACCTAAATCAGAAAATAATAATACAGACATTTCATTATCTAACTTTTCATCTGTATTTATCAGGTATTGTGTTCTGGGCAACTTAGTGGATGAATGCCCAGAGGGCTACTACTGTCCTGAGGGTACAGGCTTTGATTGGCAGCCCTGTCCACGGGGCACATACAACAACGAGACAGGATTGGCTGATATTGATCAATGTAAGCTCTGCCCCGGTGGTTACTACTGCGATGAAATGGCGGGAACCACAGCAACTAAGGAATGTGCAGCAGGTAAGACATCGTTTGGGTAGGATTTGATTTAAGTAATTAATAGTAATTAGATGGTAAGACACCAATTAAGTTGAATACATTTTTTAAGCAATTAAAAGAAATACCAAGAATTTAAGTCAGAGCTAAGTTATAGAATTATATTATATTATTACTGCTCTTCCAAGAGCCTAGAAATACGGAGACACAAATGTTCCCACTATTAGGCCGAAAATCATGGTAGACTTCATAACATTGATAAAATTTATATAAATCGTTTTTGATAACCTGATTATATAATTTTAAACACATTTTTCATTTGTTGCTAGGATATTACTGTGAGTATGGTGTAGATGTTGCCATGCCTCTTGGAGAATATAATGTGACATTTGAGAATGGTTCCTGTCTGTTCCTGGATGGTCAAACCGGAGTTGGTAGCATTTGTCCGGAGGGACACTATTGTCCACAAGGAAGTGAGAGGCCGATTCCCTGCATTGCTGGAACATACGCAAATACAACTGGATTTGCAGAGTGCTTGGAATGCCCAGAGCAATATTACTGCTTAGAAGGTATTTATTGATTTGTTCACTCTTTTGAAATATTCATTCTTTCATTATTCAGCCATTTTGCAGCAGAATAACTAAAAAAATAAGTGAAACAGACTACAAAATTTGTGAGATGTGTAAGATGTAGAGTATGTCTTTTGATTAAAATGTAGCATAGTACAAGGAAGACAATAATTATTTTAATTTTCATTGAAAATAAAATATTTACAATATACACCTTCTTTTGTTCTCTTTGTGAAGGATCTGTTATCTACGATGACAAGCCATGTCCAACCGGACATTACTGTCCCTCTGGAACTGACTCTGAGTTTGCCTTCCCATGTCCTGAAGGAACCTACTACAACCTCACAAAGGCCAGTGACCAAAATGACTGCATTCCCTGCCCTGGCGGCTATTATTGCGAGACAGATGGACTTACGAATCCGACAGACTTGTGTGCAGCAGGCTGGTACTGCAGCGGAAGCTCAAACTCATCTATGACAACTATATTTGGAGGCGAATGTCAGCCTGGTTTTTACTGCCCTGAAGGATCATATGATATGACACCTTGCGATCCTGGGACCTTCTGCCAAATATCTGGACTGGATTTACCATCTGGTAACTGCACAGAAGGTACAAGATGTCTCTCTTTGATTTGATCATTTCAGTCATGTGGTGTTTATTTCTGATTAAAGTATATATTTAAGTATTGATCATTCTATACTTAAAAATGATATTATAAGTTGATGAAATATTAATATCAAATCAAATGACATTAAATTTTATCTCATTTACAGGTTTCTATTGTTTGCTAGAAGCTAATACTCCAACCCCAACTGACAACATCACTGGTGCCATCTGTCCAGTTGGTCACTACTGTCCTGAGGGTACACCAGATAAGATCCCATGTCCATCAGGCTACTATCTGGACTCTGAACAGAACAGCGCCCTCTCAGACTGTATAAACTGTACAGCTGGAAGCTACTGTCCAGGTGTTGGACGAGAGCTTCCTATTGGTGAATGTGATGCTGGCTATTATTGTCCAACTGGTCAAAGTCAATCAAGTCCACCAGAATACATGTAAAGATTTTTTATTTTATGTTCTCTTAACTCTTTGAATGATATTAATATCAATAAGTTTACAACTTCTTTCTTATTTCCATAGAATATTCACAAAAAAAAAAACATTTTAAAACAATATAGATTAAGATAACATTCATTGAAATCACTTCTTATTTATTTCCAGATGCCCGATTGGTCACTTTTGCGAGATCGGATCTGATGACCCTGTCCGCTGTGAGAATGGAACATACCAAGACGAGCTTGGTCAGAGTTCCTGCAAGACATGCCCATCTGGGTACTTCTGTGACAACACTATGACATGGGTCGTCCTTAACAATGACACAACTCTTTGTCCAATGGGATACTACTGTCCATCGGGAACGCAGTTCGGTACTGAATTTCCTTGTCCTATTGGCACCTTTAACAATCTCACTGGTGAGTATAGTTGATGCATGATGGGATGCTACTCGTACTCAGAAAGACTTTCCCAAATTGTCATGTGATAGTGTATCTATAAACATAATAACTATATAAATAGAAACTGATGAAGTGATTGTCCAGAATGGAAATGACAACACACTTGAAAATATACATTTAATAAATAATGAAAGCCTTAAAGTTTGCCATCAAATTTAATTATATGAGGCTGCAGTACAGAACTGCAGAGGATAGAACATCACACACTTCTAAATGCCTAAACATCGCCTACATTCACTAAAATCTAAACACATCTAAACTTAAAACATCTTCCAATTTCCTTCGCAAATATGTTATGCACAGCTAACAACCTTGCACTGTACAATATGAGAGTACAGCACTTAAAATAAAAATATAATGTGAAATAAAATTGATGTTATTTTTTTTCTGTTTGTAGGCCTTAGCAGTATTGATCTGTGCAGTCCATGCAGTGGGAGCTACTACTGCCCAACACCTGGCATGGTTACCCCATCTGAGCCATGCAGCCCTGGCTACTTCTGTAAACAATATGCTAACATCTCAACACCAGACCAAGGTAAGCAGCCCGTCCAAAAACTAACAACATAACTCCTGATTTATATGAAATGAACTAAATATTTGAAAGCAGTCTTCTTCTTGAATACTTACCTGGATAAACTGACTAATTGCCTTTGGAAATGGAAATGGAAGACCCGTTCAAATCAGATAGAACAGTCCGACCGAAGATGGAAAAAATGTTTGCAAGAAAAATTATTAGTGTATCTAAAATTCCTATTAATAACAATTACTTTGTTGAATTAGTATTTGACCTTTTTCATCTCAGGAGAGGATGCAAACATATGCCCAGCAGGCTACTATTGTCCCGAGGGTACTGCAAATCCTGTCCCTTGCCCCAAGGGTTCATACAGTGATGAAACTGGACGTTGGGAGGAGAGTCACTGTGTGCCCTGTACTGCTGGACATTATTGCGCAGAATTTGGAATGACCAATACTAGTGGACTTTGTGATCCCGGGTGAGTTTGGTCTTGCTATTCAAATCAGAAACATTGGGCATATTCGACTGGTTCATTTTGTTGAGTACGATTTTTCGTTGAATATTAATTTCATTTAACTGGTTCGTAAAATAGACTTCGGCCTATTTCTTGCCATGTATTACAAATAGGTCCTTGAATGTGTTTTTTTTCATAGTGATTTACTCCATATTTATCCAATAATTGTGTAATTTTCATTTTTTTTTACGCAAAACAAACAATAAAAATATTTACTGGGATAAACCGATAAATGCTTTCCTTTGGAAATTACTTCTTGAGCATAAAAGACAAATAATGGACTTGCCTTAGCTCGCCTATATACGCCCTGAATGAACAATATCCTTGTTTCCTTCTCTCTGTAGAGCGATATAGGTAAATTGGAAGAAAAGCTTACCCATCCTATGTTTAGAAGTGTTGTTTATTTTTACTTTCCAAAGATTATCAATTAATAATTATTACATGTCGATATCTTGCAATTTTTTTTAAAGCTACTACTGTTTACAAGGTTCATTGGATCCAAGAAATGTGTCTTGCCCTGTCGGCCATTACTGTGAAGTGGGCTCAGGAAACCCTGAACCGTGCCCAGCGGGAACCTACACTAACACAATGAATAGGTACGATGTCAGTCAATGCGAATTGTGCGATGAAGGAACCTATTGCAACGACACTGGTAAGTATTATTATCGTCACTTAAAAAATGTAACAACAATTTTCTGATGCTTCAAGAATTAGAGTTTCTTAATTCATTTTAAAACAAATATGATCTTTCAGGTTTATTTGAACCATCCGGAGAGTGTGATCCAGGATTCTTCTGTCCGGAAGGCCAGCATGTCTCCAACCCTGCTGATTACCCATGCCCCATTGGACTGCATTGTCCCCAGGGTAGCCCTTTACCAATCCCTTGTGATCCAGGCACCTATACCAACTTAACCCAGCAGCCTTCGTGCTTGGAATGTCCAGCTGGGTTTTATTGTGTACCGGAGGAGGTCATTGAAGGTCAGTTTAATATTCTACCTGTTTTTAACTTTCAATTTTTGTATTTTGTAATTACTTAACTTATATTATTATAGCTTTTAGTATTAGCAAAAATGTCTTACATTGTAGGCAATTCAAGCAGTGGATTCAGGCTGTGTCCGCAAGGCTACTACTGTCCAGCGGGCACTGGCCGTAACTGGACCGCATGCCCAAGAGGAACATATGGTGCTCGTCCTGGTCTAGAGGATGAAGAGGGATGTACCAACTGTGACGGTAAGCCAACCATACAGTGTTTTACTGTTCATTTGTCTATTGTATTGGAATGTATTGTTTATTGGTATGTCTAATCAGTATTTATTGGGTATTGGTGTACTAATTGATAACTGGTACATTTAATCAGAATGTATTATTATTAATTGGTACAGTATGTCTATTTCATGAGTACCAGCATTAACTGATATAAGCCAGATTCCTAATTTATTATTGGTACATTTAATCGGGATACCGAAAGGTCCACTGAATAATCTCAGATAAGATAATATAATACAGTACGTACTCCAAGTATCGAAATGCACGCTATCGTGATGGGATTCAATATTTCGACATTATTACGTCATCATCAGGAATTTAATCGCAATGTTTTGATTATTGGTATGTTTATTTCGTATTGTTGTACATATTGAGCATCAGTATGTTCATTCAATCGGTAGGTATTGATTATTATATGCTTTATGTATTGAATGTTATATGATCTATTATCTGTATGTAAATATATATAAATATGTATTTATTTTTTTAAATTGAGTTGATTCCATTTTATTGTAGGGGGTTACTACTGCCAAGGAACTAATTTGACCAGCCCCACTGACCTATGTGACCCAGGCTATTTCTGCACATCTCGAGTGGACAGAGCAAATCCAACAGCATTTGAAAATGATACATGCTCTTATGAAGGTAGGTGTTCTGTCTCGTCTTTGGTTAAATAAAAGAACGTTGTATAAAAAAAGGGAAAAAAGACACAATTGAGAAAATGTTTCGTGGCAAAAGTTTTGAAGATATTGTCGATAGCAGCAAAGGTAGCTGTAGCTGCGACAACGGTGAAAATTATTATTAGAGTAATTTGTGAAGATAAAGGTATTGATGATGTTGAGAAATTTGTTGGAAGTTAATCATCCATATTTCTTATCAATTTCCCTCTGTCCCATTCTTTTTTAATTATAAGGTGCTCATACTGGATATGGAGGTGTCTGTCCCACTGGCCACTTCTGTGAACGAGGCTCCGAACTGCCTATTGGTTGTCCTGCTGGCACTTACCAAGACCTCGAGGGGAAAGCGGACTGCAATGACTGCCCAGCAGGCTACTACTGTTTGGCCAACTCCACAACCTATATGTAAGTAACATTCCTTAAATCATAGTATTTCATGTGTGTGATTAAGTGCATTCAATTGTGTCATTACTAAACAGGATAAGGTGTTCTATCATAGCAAATTACAGTGATGCACAGCTCAGGATGATAACATTTTAACAGCTACCTGGATGAATCCAGACTTGATGCGGAACTACTGTACCTTAGCATTAACATTATCCAGTTTATGACTATTGAGAAAATGATATATGTTGACATAAACAGAGTTTGAAATTTCCATTTTTTTCAGGGACACAATTTGCCCACCAGGCTACTACTGTCCAAATGGAACAGAGTATGACATCCAGTTCCCATGTCCACAGGGGACATTTAACAATCTTACAGGTAGGTTTTGAGTCTAAATCTCACTCCATACGAACAAATTCAGTTTCGTTACCATCCTCACACAGTTGTAGCTTAGCCCAATCAACTCCAAAACACATCATTTTTTGGGGTTGATACTTGATAATTATACATTCATCTACTTTTTTTCAGGTGGCCACAGCCTTAGCTCATGTATAGACTGCCTACCAGGAATGTACTGCGAGGGCGCCGGTGACTACCCAACAGATTTCTGCAATGCTGGCTGGTATTGCATATCCGGTGCTTATGAACCACAGCCTAGCGCGCCATACGGTGGAGAGTGTCAACCAGGTAGTCTTCAAAATCAACCTTCTAATTTATTATCTCTAACTATGTCTATTTGGTTTTTTTTTAATTTTAATATGGTAATAGTTGCAAGATTTGCCATAACTTAAGTATGTGTTCCATATGTGCTTGATTAACAGAGGTAATAACGTGAAGCGCTATATAAGTAACATATTTTTATATAGATACAAGATGATAAATATTAAATGACATATCATGTAATATACTCTGATTAGTAAATAATACCAATCCTCGAAGACATGTTTCTACATATAACTGACAATAAATCCTTATTACAAACACCATACATATTTCAATAGTCCAATATAAAGAAAATACTTGATGAACTATGCTTTATAGGTCAGTATTGTCCAATCGGATCATCCAAACCATTGTCATGTGACCCTGGAAAATACTGTGATGTGACGGGTATGGAAGAACCACGTGGTGACTGTGATGCTGGCTATTATTGCTCAAATGGCTCGTCAACAGCTACACCTAATGGTGTTGGAGGTAAGTCTATCTGGAAAAACTACTGCCCTGATTTTGTATGCACACAATGAAACGTTAATAAAATACAAGATAGGGGGCACCCTATTAGAATACCTTTTATGAATTTTTGAAGGACGCCCACTAGTGGTAGTACTTTTTGAGATAGGATTGTGTTCCAACGAATCCCTAAGATTTAGACTTCTATACTCTTTACTTTAAGTTATTACGCCACATTTTTAATTTTACAAGTGATAGGTTATCTGCTATTGCACACCATAGATTTTCAGTGGCTTTTCTGTTACTGGTGACAATTAAAACGTATACTGTGTTTTTAAACATCTATATAGGTGACAGATGCAGTCCAGGTCACTATTGTGTTGAGGGAAGCTACAATGAACAGCCTTGCCTACCAGGGACTTACCAGCCCAGTGAGATAGCTGAAAACTCAACCTGGTGCCTAGAATGTACTGCTGGAATGTATTGCAATGATAGCGGCTTACCAACTCCTGAAGGAAGGTGTACACAAGGTATGAAAATTGGATTTAAATCAGCAATTTGATTGATTTATACAGATATAGATAAGGCAAGACATTTTTTGTTCCTTGTTTCGCGGTGTTATTTTTGGAGCAGTATTAATATATAGTTATGATTGTCATAACCCAATATTACTTTCCGTGTATTTCTAGGTTTCTACTGCCCTGGTGGTCAGACTGTCCCAGCTCCCAATGAATATCGTTGCCCTGTGGGCTATTACTGTGAAGAAGGTGTGGGTAACAAGGAAGCTTGCCCTGCAGGTACATACCAGAATGAGGAGGGACAGTGGACTTGCAAAGAATGTCCAGAAGGCTTCTATTGTGATGATGTTAATGGTCCTATTATCAACTTCACCAGCAATGTATGCCCAGAAGGTAAGAAGTTTTTTATTTGTATAGGTGTAATTTTGCCCTACCTGACGTGGAAATGTACCGAATACTCAGTACATTTGAAAACAACTGCGAAAAAAATCGCAAGTTGTTCTCAGGTGGGACTCGAACCCATGATCTCCAGATCACTAGCCTGGCATCATACCTCTAGACCACCGAGCTTGCGCCTGATGGCCAGGGTTGAATTCGAGTCCAAGTAAGCAGCGGGTACTGCAGTGGTGATAGTAATTGTTAATGTACCGAGTATTCGGTACATTTCCACGTCAGGTAGGGCAAAATTACACCTATTATGTTTCTCCTGACGCAAATCCAGGTATTGTCTATTATTCCATCACAACAATATATAATTATTTTATTGTTATAAATAAATAAATACTTTTTTCTTTAGCTGCTGACTCAAATCCTGCATGATAATTATTTTGATGACTAACAACGGTATTGTTTAAGACTTCATTATACCCTAATTTGAAACCTACTTTTAGAGCATTAAAAAGTTTTATTCTTGTAATTGGTTAATGTAGTTGATTTGACCTTAAAACATTAGTGGGAAGACAAATAAAATTATACTACAATCAACTTGTAATGTAACAGTACATGCTTTCTTAAAGCCAGGCTCCAGAGAAAATCAAATTTGATATTTTGACACAAAAAGTGTATGCAAGACACAAAAAAGGGTGTTTGACAAAAAAACTTGGCAACAGTTAATATAATACAGATTTTTGAATATTTAAAAACATGGTGAAAAGGTGGGAAAATCGCTGGTTAAGCCCCGTTTTCCTCCATTTTTGAATATTCAAATATCAGTACCTCATTTTTTCCTCTAATCTCTGGGGCCTGGCTTTTGCAAAGACGGCAAAAAATCAAACATACAAAGATGGTAAAAGAACCGAGTCAAGTCAGTCCAACCAAGCTCAACTAGATCTAATTGATTTACTGTTTTCAGAAGCTTGGTTGTTATAGAAATCATTCCTATATGTGTAAAATCCCTTATTATTAGGGAAGAATAAAAATTAAGTTTATGCAGTGTATGAAGATTTTTTATTTATATTTGATATTGATTCTTGTAGGTTACTACTGTCCAAATGGTACCACTGCAGCTACCTCCTATGCGTGCCCAATTGGAACGTTTAACAACATCACCGGCTTAACAAATGCAGATGAATGTACTCACTGCCTAGGTATTAAATGTTGTCAGGCTTTATCCAAACTATTGAATTTTATAGTAAAAACAAATGTGATATGCCCATATTTAGGTGTAACATGACATCATCAAGTCCATATATGGAGACATCACATAAATACTTTTACTACTAGTTGTGGTCATGTATTCAGTGCTGTGGTATAAATTGTTAAAAATCTGTATATATGGCCCATGCAGACCTGCAGCCACAGCACTGCAGCCCCTACCATCGTTAGTGCACTGAGAGACAATCCTCTACTCTTTTCTAGTAGTGTAATAAGTTCATGCTGTTAACCTGCACATGGTGACCCTGCTACAACTGTTCCAGTCAACTGATAACAGCAACTAGAATCCATTATTTGCGATTATTTGCTAAAAGGAAGTTACATTAACACCTGTGTAGCTCCTGTGATTATGAATTCATATGAATGAATAAACAAATAAATAAATAAAAATATTTTCATGGGTGGATTTCCCACATGATTAAAAATCCTAACTGTACTGGGTTTAATCTGATTTTTAATTGTGCGGGAAATCCACTTAAGAATAAACATGTGTTACAGCTCCTGTGATTATTGATTCACACGAATGAACAAACTAAGTTCTTTTGAGTTTACAAGTGCCACAATGCACTAGGGATCAATGGCTTGCCATCCAGAAGATTAGGTAATTATGTGTACTTCAGGTTCAGTACAAGAAAAAAACTAAACATTCATCATTATTTTTCTTTTTACCAGGTGGTTTCTACTGCGGGCAACCTGGTCTCACCTATCCCTACACCTTATGTGCGGCTGGATACTACTGCAAGATAGGGGCACCTGTTGCAACACCTGATCAGGGAGAAGATGCCAATGCTTGTCCAGTTGCCCATTACTGTACAGAAGGGACCATTGAGCCAATGTCTTGCCCAAGTGGAACATACAGCAACGATACTTTATTGCAAGATGAAACAGAATGTAATCTTTGTGCAGCAGGTAATTATGAAGTTAAAATTATTACCGTAAATCATTGAATAAACTTCGTTCTCGAATAAGTGCCTATCACGATTTAGCGCTGCAGCAAACATGATTTTTTTGTCGCTAAGCACCCTCTCGAATAAGCGAGTATATAGTACCTCGTGTGTAATGAAACACTTTCAGAAACAAGGTTTTAAATACAATGTATATTGTGTTTAATTGAATAAATTGCACAATGAAGACAGCATATCTTTTTAAACGTAAACGGACTACAGGAATACGTGAGATAGGTAGCTTGAGAACGGGCATGGAAATCACCATAGCAATATTTATTTAATAAGCGGCGCTCCCAAATAAGCGCCGCACTGAAGCCTCCAAAAATTGTATAATCGCCGCAGAGCTTATTCAAGGATTTACAGTATTTATCATGAAATGTGCTACAACACTTGGTCCTTACAAACAATGCTGCCATTGTGGATTAATTATTTATCCATTAAGTAACAAGTGATTGATCACTAATCATTTTCATTATGTCTTAATTTTAAATAGATTAGGAATCCATATTGATTGTCTTTTTATTTGTGCCAATGAAAGAATCATTTTCGTTTATGTAATGTTTTGTCTTTCAATAATATTGTTACTTCTCTTCTGATTTTAGGTTCCTACTGCTTAGGTGGAGAAATAGAACCTGATGGCTACTGTGAACCAGGTTTCTATTGCGTGAACGGTTCAGATGACCAGCAACAGTATGTCTGTCCACCTGGACGCTACTGTCCACTTGGCACATCTGTACCTTATAGGTGTCCAGCCGGTACTTACTCTAACGACACTCGCCTTTCCGCTGAATCAGAATGCCGTAACTGCACGGCAGGATGGTACTGTCAACAGACGGGTCTCACCATGGAAGAGGATCTATGCACTGAGGGCTACTACTGCCCTGAAGGTAAGTAGCAAGATTGGAGTTATGAGAATCTGATGATGATTATAGTGAGTGTATGGTGTGGATAAAGGTGATAGTTATGAAGGTGACAATGATGATAACATTGACAACAATGATAGGGATGAGGATGATGATGATAATGACAACAATGATGGCGATGATCATGATGGTAAGGAAGATGAAGGTGAGAATATTAGTGATGATGAAAATGTGGTGACAGTAATAGATATAACCACAACTATGAATGTTCAACAATATATATTATCATTATAATGACATTAAATCAACTAAAATATGCAAATCAGTAGTGATGTTGGTATTCTATGAGTGAGATACTTAACCTAAATAAACTCTATGCTTAAACGGCAATTAGCCGGTTTGTCCAGGTAAATATTTACGAAATAGATACAAAAAAATTGATACACTAAAATTAAAAACTGTTATTTTTTAGGCTCATCTGTGCCTGAGGCAGTCAAGTGCCCAATCGGTCTGCACTGTCCAGAAGGCTCTCCTGAACCCAAAGCATGCCCGCCTGGGTACTTCACCAACACTACTACCATGTCATACTGTGAGATTTGTCCTCAGGGATACTACTGCTTACCGGAAAATGAAACACTAGGCAATCCAGACCTACAAGCTGGATATGCCGACTGTCCACAAGGCTACTACTGTCCAACAAGGACTGGCCTTGACTGGCAGCAATAATTACACATTTTAGCCTGTTCTTAAAGCTATAACATTATAATAGATTAATACTATTTGAAATGTGGAAAGAGGTAAAGCTGCAGCTTGCGTGATAGAAGATTACTTGATTTCTGTCGAAAATTATAAATTTTTATACAAACATCCCTATACACCTCATGTTGTGAGTTAGTTCACAGAACAGAACATGATCCCTCTGTCAAATTTTATTGATGTGAAAGGGAAGTTCTTAGTGGCATTATCTTAAAACGTTCTTATCATGTTGTATATTATTATTACAACCCATACACCGCAACGCTCGAGTTTCAAAATACGGGTAAACTAGCTGTACTGAACTTTCTGTGTAAATTGAGGGCGCAATTGAAAATGATAGTGCTCAGGGGAAATTTGATTGGCTGAATCTATGGCAGCCATCTTGGATGGTACACACACACAGCTCTGCGTATTTCGAACATTGAATACATTGCTGTTAGCACTCTTAGTATTCTTATTATATCTCTATGGTTTTTTATCAAATATCTTAAAATGTAATTCTTCATCTCCACCCTTTTGTGATGTAATATTTGTTGTGTTAATATTTACTGCAGACACATTTTATTCCACTTCCACAAGATATCACAGCGATCATGTTCCCAATATAGATGTTGTATAACCTGTTAAGAATAGTACATATATTTTTAATCCCTATCCAGACTATAAAATTTGATTTGACAAAACGTGTGACATGCCTATGTATGGCCATGATGACTTTACATCATGACCATATATAGGCACATCATGACTAATATTGGCATACAACAGTATTTTTGTAGAAGAAAATTTGATAATCTGGGCAGAGCTGTAGACAGGTAAATTTTACCAACAACCTGTTCCTGTATTCATGAAGTTCTATTTGTATTCTTAAGGTTTAACACTTCTTTTGCATTCATTGTTTATTCACCCAAAATATATACAACCCACAAGAAAAAATGATATATGAGAAAGACAATAAACATTCTTAGTTGGTGATGATTACCACTATATGGTCAGTGGCAGAGGGTAATTTTTCTCCCACCCATAACTCCAGTACTGGTACTAGTGTAGGTAATTATAATGCGCCTCTTCCTTGAGGTTATAAAATGCAGTTCTTTTTCCTGGTCATTGGGTCGACATGCTAAGTGTTGCTGCTGTAATCAGAGCAGGAGCAGCCAACCCCTCTAGGTACCCATTTATACTCCTGGGTAGAGAGAAGCAATGCAGATAAAGTGCCTTGCTCAAGGACACAAGCGAAATGCACAGCGAGGGATTGAAACCCCTACCTCAAGGTTGAGACATCAAACCGTTCCTGCTGCTTCTAGGCTAGACCTCGGCTATGCCTTAAATATACAATTTTAATAGATAAGATTAATTTCACATGGACATAGTATTTCATACTTAAACAAGATAGTATCACTACTACAATAGTAAGATTAACATTTTCAATCTTATAATAAATTTTATACAGCCAGTGTTATGTATTGACCTAGGCTACTATGGCTAATGACAGGTACACTTTCACCATTAAAGGCTTTTTCTATGAATGGAATGGCCTGTACGAAAAACGAGCTCCTGTAGACCAAACCTAGTACTGTTACGATTTTAATCGTACGGGAAATATCCTCAAAATCAAACAGTTCCCGCTGCTCCAAACCACTTCTACAACGTTAATCAGTAGTTAACAATTATCCCATATCACCTCATTCCCCCACTTGGCTTCCACTACTTTCCCATTGTGCTATTGTACATGATGCATGCCACTAATTATACTATCAGCAGTCACCTTTTATTATTCTCCATTTAATAGATTCAACAATGTCGTGACTGTGACGGAGGACACTACTGCAATATAGAGGGCGCAAACACCACATCAGGTCTGTGTGACGTTGGCTATTGGTGTGATTCTGGAGTTGACCGCATGAATCCCAACAATGAAGACACAAACTCAACATACGACGCCTCATGTCCTCTGCTTGGAGGTCACACTGGAATAGGTGGGGTATGCCCTGTGGGGTACCGTTGCCCCATCGGTACAATCCTTCCACTTGGATGTGATGCTGGTACATATCAAGATGAGGAAGGACAAGGGGCATGCAAGGAATGCCCGGCTGGTAAGTGTAACCATGGAGCATATAAGTTTTGTATAGTGTAACTAAGGCCTTGAGTTTCAAAGTTGGATTCCTCAGGATTATCCAATTATTCTTCATGGCTGCAAGTGCCATTTTTTTTCAACATCGGATTGGTCATAATCACATAATGCAATACAGAAATTCATTTTGTTAGTATTTAAAATTGATTAAAGAAGTGTCTTTCAATTTTTATTTACAAATTTTATATTCAAACCTATTCACAGGCCGATATTGTCCAACCAATTCAACTCATAGTGACTTTACATGCCCAGCTGGTCACTATTGTCCAGCCGGTACAGGAATGTCAGATCAATTCCAATGCCCACCAGGAACCTTTAACAATCTCACTGGTCAGACAAATGAAAGCTCATGTGTCATCTGTCTTGGAGGAATGTACTGTATGGGATATGGAAATGCTAACCCCACTAGTAACTGCAGGTGAGTCTTGACTAGAATAGAGGTTTGATGGGTGAGGTGCCCACCTTCGAATTTGAGGGTCCTAGGCTCAATCTTTTAAACAGACACAACTACTCTCACAATTAATATCAACCCTGTGTGACATAAAAAGAAAAAAAAAGAAAACATTACTTGTCCCCTTTCTAATTTTTTGGTGATTTTTTTTTTGATACCAAGAAAATATGACAGAAAGCTAAACAGCCTGATAAGTGTGTGTGTATGTTTGTTTTGGTATGGACAATTTTAGTTTTAAAAAATGGAAAAAAGGAGGCCTCATGCCCCTTTAAATTTTTTTTCGACTATTTATCAGGTGGCTAAGTGAGAAGATTTTGACAAATACTTTATTTGTATTTGTTTAGTCTGTTTTATGAACACTAATAATTGTTTTATGTATTTTCCTTCCTGTAGTGATGGATGGTACTGTATAGGAGGTGCATCTAACCCCATGCCTACTGATCCTTCGATTGGGGGCAAGTGCCAAGAGGGTTACTACTGTCCCGGTGGTACAGAGTCACAGATAAAGTGCGATCCAGGATTCTATTGCCCTCGAAAAGGACTAGCAGAGTCACTGGCGTTCTGTGAACAAGGTAAACAAAAAAGGGACATAATATGTCAAGTATTCAGAATCTATGTGTATCTTCCCCGAACTACCAGCTGTCAAATCTGTGGTTCTATAATGCATAACAAAGAAGTAATAAATGCTAGAATGTGTACTTGTTGCTGGCAGCCAACGTGTTAAGAATCTTATTGGAATTATAAACAGTTTGTATTATCATTAATCTTCCTTATCTTAACAGGTTTTTACTGTACCCTAGCAGCCACTACAAGCAGACCAACTGACAACATAACAGGAAATGTTTGCCCACAGGGCCACTATTGTGAGGAAGGTAACCCATATCCCGAACCTTGCCCAATGGGCTACTACTTAGACGAAGAGCAGCAGAGTCAGGTTGATAATTGCAAGAATTGCACAGAAGGTAAGATAACAGAAGACAATACTGACCGAGGTTATCCTAAAGCACAGGTGGACAAAGTGCGGCCAGATGGTGATTTTGCTGCAACCCACAAAAGTAAATTAAAACCCTATGTGTGCAGCCCACCAATCATCTTTGGCTAGAAAATGCCTTGTTTTGTGCGGCCCAAAACGTATCATCTGTAAATAGTGATATTAAAACTGAGCATAAAGTGGGATAAAAGCAGTGCATAAAAGCATTTGCAAGAACACTGGAAACATCTATGTTTGGGCGTGGCCCTCAGTGTTAAATCAAAATTTCTCTTTGGCCCTCCGACCCATTTTTATGCCCATTCCTGTCCTAAAGTAATGATAAACAATCTTTATAATCATATTTTTTCTTATAATAACTAATTAATTCTTGGTATTCAACAGGATCTTACTGTGGCAGTGAAGGACTTCCCAATCCGACCGGACCATGCCAACAAGGCTACTATTGCCCACGTGGGCAAACAGTTGCCGCCCCTGCCTCATACCGCTGTCCACTTGGCCACTTCTGCACCACTGGTCGTGCAACTCCGGAACCATGTCCTTCGGGATCATACCAGGATACCGAGGGCGAGTGGTCATGTAAGGAATGTCTAGAAGGACACTACTGTAATGCTACCTTTGGACCAGTGGATTTCTATGGAGAGTACATCTGCCCGATGGGCTACTACTGTCCCAATGGAACTGAGTACAGCACACAGTATCCTTGTCCAAGAGGTACCTTTAACAACATTACAGGTAAGAGTTTCTATTTTGTGAATACTTAACTGGATGAACTGATATAAGCCAGATTCCTAATGGAAATTACCCACGAAAAATAATGGAATCGTCTGATCATCGCTTTTGATTTGTGTGATATTATTGAATCAAGCTTCAATAAATAATTTGTTTATTATCGAAAACACAGTTACTTGTCTCAAAGTTGCAGCCAGGAAAATAAACCAAAAATACAAAACTAAATCACACCAGATATTGTTAATTGTTGAACATTGAAAACAAAAAAAAACGTAAGCAGTACTGTAATAAGAATAATCCTAATTTTACATCATCTTTTATCGATGTGAATGGAATTTTGTTGTTTCTTCTTTCTCTCTAAAATGGACTCTATGCATGTAAACATTTAAAAAATAGTCCAGTTTTTTTATGAACTCAATTTTGTTTTGGCTTGCAGGTTTATCGTCCGAGTCCCAATGTGTTCCTTGCATCGGTGGAACGGTCTGTGATGAGACGGGATTGGTGAGTCCGCCAAGATTGTGTGAAGCTGGTTACTTCTGTAGAGAGGGTGCTAACATAAGCACACCAACATATGGTAGGCTGGACGCTTTGTTGGAAATATAAAAAAATATTATATAATAATAATTATAATAATGATGATAAGTGTTATTAATATTTATATATCCAAATATGCATTATTGTACTTGTGTTTTAAATATTGAAGCTATGATATCATGTCCTACTCAACTTATATTACCAATAATGAATATTAATTATAATTATATTTTAAGCAATTTCCATTTCAGAATTATTTGGTGCCAACAAGAAGTTGGTAGTTTTGATGAAAACAAAAATATTTGAAAATTTAAATGAAAATGATAATGAAAACGTATAATAGTGATAGTAATTATAGTAATGATATAACAGCATTGTCAGGAAGGATATTAATTATTATAATTATGGCTATGCAAAACTACAGTACTGTAATGATTATAAAATTGTTACAAAGTGAAATAATACTGAGAAGGCTAATAATGTACATATACTGTAGAGCATTTTATACCAAAATGGTCGCAAAGACTTTGAGGTACAGTATGTTTGGACTGGCCCTTACAGTTACTTGCTTCCTCTCTAAGGGTCTCTTCGTGTCTGAGCTACCCGGTAAACCGGTACTAGCTACTCTTGTCTGTCCACAGCAGGGGCTGAATGAATGGACCAGTACACTGATGTAACCCCCTTAATAAATGACCCATTGAGAAGAGATTCATATGCAGGTTTTTGCCAAACAGTATATTGTGTTTCTGCTTTCAAATTCTATATCTTCAAACTTCTATTTTCTGTTGCAGGCATTTGGAACGATGAGTGTCCTGCTGGTTTCTACTGCCCCGAGGGTACAGCGGAACCCATAGCTTGCCCTGAGGGTACCTTCAGTCCAGATAAGAAGCTAATGCGAGAAGACCAGTGTCTGAATTGCACTGCAGGATACTTCTGTAACAAAACCGGTGAGAGAAATTTTACATTTTAAATAATTTATTTTAATTAGGACTATTTTCATTTTCTAATCAATTCATTTTATTTATTTCGTCACTTGATATAAAATAAAAAATATGTCTATTAATATTTATGAATTTCTCTGTAACAAGTGATTTTATGTTTATCATTATTTATTATAGGTATTACTGATGTACAAGGACCATGTGATCCTGGCTATTTCTGTGTGGAAGGCTCCACTAGACCCGACAATGCCATTTGCCCAATTGGACACTATTGTCTTGAAGCAACAAGAGATCCTTACCCATGTCCTAATGGTACATTCGGAAATGTCACCGGCTTGGATGAAGTTTCAGACTGCTTTGATTGCAGTCCTGGCTTCTATTGTGAAGGCCTAGGTAAACTAGCTAATTCCCTGATTTGTTTAACACTGTTGAAATTATGTCAACCTTTATAATAATTATAAAAATAAATATAATGCTAACCATAACACCCCTAACAAATAATAGAGTATTCCATGCCTGCACTGCTATTTCTTATTTTAAAGCCCTTTTTTTGTATTTATTTACAGCTAATATCGTGCCAACTGCTCCTTGTGATAAAGGATACTATTGTCCAAGTAAGTCGGACAACGCAAGACCGTACATCTGTCCGATTGGTCAGCATTGTCCACAGGGCAGCTCTGAACCTCAGGCCTGCTTAGCAGGTTATTATGTTGACTATGAGGGTGCTTTTGATTGCACAATATGCCCTGAAGGTGAGTTTGTAAATTCCATATCATTGGTAATTAGGAGCTTTATTATTTAGATGGAATTAGTCTACTTGAACATAACAAAGTGTGCCCTAAGCTGGAGTTGAAAGTAGTTGTTTTAACATAAAATATTTATTTTCTTATTGATTCAATCAAACCAGTGTGGCCCCAATTATTTTATATAGGTAGAAGTTAGAAGTTATATATGACTTTTTTTTTGCAGTCTCTTGTGAATACTTGCTTAGACAGACCAATAAATACTATATTTAATTGCGGAATTTACTCCAAATTATAACAGATAATAATGGAATCACCCACCTCGTCAGCTTAGATGCACTGAGTGAATTAGGTGTTTTTTCTCATTTCGTTATTGCTATTGAGTGATAAATGTGAATTTAAAATTTAATTGTCTATCCAAAGTCAATTGTAATGAATTTAATATTATTTTCTATTTTTATTTTAAAGGCTTCTTCTGTATTCCTGAAAATGTTGACGTTGGCGTAGCAGAGAGCACACGTACTGCTTGCCCAGCCAGCTACTACTGTCCCAACGGTACTGGCCACGATTGGCAGCCATGTCCATCCGGAACGTATGATGCACATGGCAGCCTTGCAGAAGCCCTTGAGTGCACCCCTTGCGATGCGGGCATGTATTGTCAGGGTGTAAACCTAACACAACCAACTGCATATTGTTACGAGGGCTATTACTGTGTATCAGGGGTTAGCACTCCAGATCCAGTGATGCTGAATGGTGACCAGTGTCCAACAGATACAGTACATCCAATGATTGGCGATATTTGTCCTGAGGGATACTACTGTCCAGTTGGAACCACTTATCCAAAGGGTAAGACGAATCTTTTTAAATAGTTTTATACCAGTGCAATTATCTCTAACGTAATAACTGATTTGGAAAACAATGTAAAGTGCATAAAGCCCCATTCAGACTATCAAATTTTATTTGACAAAAACATGTGACATGCCTAAATATGGTCATAATGACATCACATCATGACCATATATAGGCACATCATGACCATATATAGGCACATCATGACTATATATAGGCACACAATAGGGTGGACAGAGCTTAGTGCGGCAACCAATAATATATTTATTATTATTATTGTTATTGTTGTTTTTAAAATTTTTTTACTAAATATTATCTTCCCTTTCAGGCTGTCTACCTGGTACTTACAATGATCTAACCCAGCAAGCATCATGTAAACCTTGCCCTGAGAGATACTACTGCTACGCCAACACCACCATGTACGCCGAGAACGAATGCCCCCTGGGGTACTACTGTCCTCTCAATACAACCGACCCCCATCAATTCCCCTGCCCAGCCGGTACCTTCAACAATGCTACTTTACAGAGTAGCGAAGAAGGATGTTTGCCATGCACTCCGGGATGGTTCTGTGCTGGGATTGGAAATGAAGACCCCACTGGTGAATGTGACCCCGGCTGGTATTGTAGTGGGGGTGCAAAAGAAGCACAGGTAAGTAGCTTACTCCTTATTACGTTTAAAATCAATCAATCAATTTATAAGTTCAATCAGGCTATTGTAAACCTACTCTGTTTTATGTACAAGTATAAAGCTCTTATATTTAAATCTAAATTTCTCAATACTTCATTGATGTATTATACAATACATGATTTGAAGTTAACACTCTGACCGCCAGGGGTTTGAAAAGATAGTATCAGCCACCGCCAGACATTTTCCCGAATTTTAACACTTTTCCGAAGCTCGTTGGGAGTGCACATGTGATCAGATTGACATGCAGTGAATACTACAAGAACTACAAACATCTTAGCTTTACACTTTATTCTAATCACAATCTGTGACCCGTAACAGTAAAATGAATATGACTCTTGGAGATTTACGCAATTTCGCACAACGAAGCTGAGATAATCGTGTTAATAGTGAATTCAGCTCCCCAAGGTGTTTAGTGTGATCAGGACTAGCACCCAAAGTGAACCGGACTTGGATTCTGATCATCCAAGCAAAGTAGAATTCACTACTTCTTCTTAACTATGTTTGTTTTACTATACCTCATAATATTTTATTGTGTATTTTGTGAATACTTAACCGGATAAACTGATATTCACAATGTATAGTAATATTGCATACTCGCCTTATATTGATTTTTTATACATTTGTTTTAGCCAAGTGTTAATGGAGGTATATGCCAACCAGGAGAATACTGCCCTCAGGGATCAAGTCAGCCTACACTTTGTGATCAAGGATATTACTGCAATGCTACTGGTCTAGATAATGTCGTAGACCTCTGTGATCCAGGATACTACTGCCCAACTGGTTCCAGTAGTCCAAGACAGATCGTATGTCCTGTGGGAAATTACTGCCCCCGCGGCAGCCAGCGACCGACCGAATGTTCAAACGGTACATATCGTGATGCAATCAAAGGAGATGAGTTTGAGGATTGTGAGCCGTGTACAGCTGGGTTTTACTGCAACGAGACAGGAGCGTCGTCCACATCAGGTGAATGCGCACCTGATTACTATTGTCCAGAAGGTCAGACCACACCGACTCCGTATGAATACCTGTGTCCAAAGGGGCATTATTGTCCAGGTAATTCACCTGCACCTGTTAGGTGTGAGGATGGTTACTATGAGGATGATGTTGGCCAATCAGAATGTAATCTCTGTGAAGAAGGTAATTTAATTTCATTTAATTTCACTTCGTGACCATATGTAGGCATATCATGACTATATATGGGCATACAACAGTTTTTGTCAAAGAAAATTTGATAGTATAGACTTTATACCTCTTTACTCTTTATATGTTTCATATTCGTAAAAACTATGAGAATTGAATTAATAATAATAGTAATAATAATAATGTCATCTTATTTGGCGCACGTGTACAATTCTAACAGAGTTGCTTGCGGCACTATTTTCCACTTACAAAACATAGCCCTTTTTTCTGCATTTCTTATTTATTTTTTTATGAATCAACCCTTACGCTGCCATCTCTTTTCTTAATCAGTCAACCAGAGCACCAGCTGATAACGTTACCCCTAATCTAGACTTGCCACAAGTCTCTTATTTTTTATTATTTTTCTCATTCTGGACAGCGCCACCAACGAGAAAGTTAATTTAAAGACGGAATAAGCGACTTGTAAAACACTGAAATCAGGCACCAGGATGCCAAAAGAATGACGTAATCTTATATTCCGTATTTGGATAAATGGGCAGACCGAAATAAACAATTTCAACCAATCAAATGTTCATATTTTTGGAGCTACGAAACTGAGTCACTCGCGTCGACTAGTTAGGCATGACTAAATTTAGATAGTCCTCCCTAACTAATAAAACGGGCCTAAAATATTTAGAATAGACCCTAGTAAGACTAATGTTGGCAATGGCAAAAACAATTAAGCTTAGACTACATGGCATACCATACAAATACAACAAAACTTTCCAGTAGGATGGCTCAGGCCTCTCCTGGAGTCAGGTAGTATGCCTAGCCTAGACTAGTAGAGGCTTGGCCTATTTTTAAGTTCTTACTTACAGAGTCCTACCTTTTTAACAATATTCTACCCTAAAGGCCTAAATCTGTGTAGCAGCTAGCTGTGAGCAAGGTTCCAAGTAGACCTATAGCCTACGGTTATCAGTCCATGTCGTTCTCAGCAGGCCAGAACTATTGTACTAACTGTTTTAATTCAAGTAGGTAGCCAAAAGGGAGCTGGAGCTTGTTCCAGTCGAGATATCCGCATCTTCAATTTTGAAAATTTACCAAGATTGATTAATATGCATCAAGTTAGCCAATCACGTGATTTACAAAATCAGTCATGCATACGATATCCCACATCAAATTTGATGTGGGAAATTGCACGCATGAATCGTTTGCCCAGGCCCTAATTCGAAAAAAAAGAAATCGAGTATGGGACGCCAATTAAATTAGGTATGGTGCGCACTAAGTGCAATAAAGAGTGAGTAACCTAAAATTAGGGCCTGGAACCCAGGCTACCCCTAATCCTGTAGTGCTTTATTTGGTAGTGCTTTATGTGCTCAATAATTCATAAACTATTGAGATTATGAAAATATAAATATAAAAACATTTGCTCAGCTTTGTTCATTTTTTACATATATATTTTTATTTCTGCATTTTATCTATCATTTAGTGATGATAGGAATATTTTGTTAATAATCACAAATATTATATTAGGCCTAGGCCTATTAGCAGAGTGTGTGTTTTCACAGTCACGGTAAATTGTTTGCTGATGAAAATCAAAATAATCCTATTTAGGCCAAATCCCTAGGCCTACATACATTTCCTGACATTACCATCACAGACAGGCCTAGCTAGGCTAGGTCTACCTAGCTAGGTCAAGGCCTAGAACATTGTTTTCTATGTCAGTTTCTAAGTCTCCTTATTATCCAGCACAGCTGTAACAACTACAGAGGAATACAATTTCTCAGCATTTCAAAACATCATATTTTCAACTTGCAAAAACTTCTAACAAAACAACCCCTGGCAAGTTTCAAATCAAAATGTGCAGAAATTCATTGGCTTTCCTATCCAGTAAACTGTCTTTTGGTTAGTGTTATTTCCGCCGCTCTATGGTCGGTTTTTAGATATCCTTCACCAATTCGCATTTATGCGAAACTGGCATGCACACCAACGGTGCAGTGTTCGCATTTATGTGAAATCAGCAGCATAAGTGTTAATGTCATCAATTTTTTCTTCATTGTTGTTATTATAGAAAGCTAGTTCATTCATTCTTTCTTTACAATAGGCTTCTTCTGTGACAACACTTATGCTCCGGTGACCGGGTTGTTTAATACGTCATGCCCCAGCGGTCACTACTGTCCACGCGGTACTAGGTTTGCCACAGAATTTCAATGTCCATCTGGTACTTTCAACAATCTGACAAACTCTATAAATGAATCTAGCTGCATGCCATGCCTGCCAAAATATTACTGTAATTCACCTGGGCTCAGCGCACCGGAAGGAGAATGCTATGCAGGGTAAGTTAAGATTCCTTTGTGGGTACTTGATGGGTAATATCATTAAGGAACTTGTAATATATTTTAATAATTAATTAAGACTTAAAACATACATATCAATTGCAAGCAATGCACAATGTCTTGAAAGAAAGGTGTTGTCTCCACATCACTATTACCTCATGTATTTTTGAACTTTGACCTTCATGACCCAAACTACTCATTGAATTTGTCTCTATTGAAAAGAGGGGTGCTCTTCACAATATTTTTGAAGTCTTATGTTGCTCTATGGGACCAAGTTTTCTTAATCTATATTTTCTACTAGATATTACTGTGATGGAGGCGACTCTACTCCAACACCAGCTGATTCTTATTGTCCAGTTGGGAACTACTGCCCCGCAGGAAGCTACAAGCCCACACCATGTCCATCGGGAAGTATCTCCAGTGGTGAACGAAACAGAAATTTAACTGACTGCGAACCCTGTGCTCCAGGACGCTACTGTACCGCTGAGAGTTCCGAAACAGGTGAGTCAGTCATCTATTTACAAAAATTTATTCAAATTAATTACTCTTGTGAACACTTCCTCACTTACATTTCTATCCTTCAAATGCTTAGTTTATTATATTAATTTTTTTTATTTCAACAATATTTTGTGAGGGTGAATCAGACAGAGCTGATTAATTTGGACCCTCAGTACATACAGTTAAACAGGGAAAAAAAGTATAATCAGAAAATAACGATATAAGGACAACATTAAAAATACAAATAAATACATTATTAAAGAAACAGAAAAATATTGGAATTATAAATTAATCTAGAGAACTAAAGGACAAATTAGACCAAATTTCAACTACACTCTGCTTAAAAAAATTTCTGTTTTGTGAATACTTTGTTAAATTTTTATGTAGCAAATTATCTTAAGTGAAAACACCCCTAAAATAAATGAAACAGTCTAAATTGTTTAAAATGTAAACATCCTGAAATCTGTATCATGTGATTGGTTCTGATGCAGCACATTGTACTTCATAATATATGTTGCTAATACATAGCATCCTATTTTATTATTTTGACATTAAATTTTGATCGGTTGTTATGTATTAGGAACAACGCTTCCATGCGATCCAGGCTACATCTGTATCTCAGGTTCTGACATCGCTACACCTGGAGACGGTGTCAAAGGTTATGTTTGTCCAGAAGGTTATTATTGTGAGGGAGCCGCTATTCAGGAGTCTCCATGTGATAAAGGAACTTACGCACCAAGTCCGGGACTTGGAGCATGCTTAACCTGTCCAGAGGGTAAGTCAGTACTTAGGATATTGATGGCGGTGGCAATGGTGAGAATGCTGGCAGTGATGATGTTGATGGTTATATTTAAGGAAGTGATGAATATAATGTTGGTGGCGGTGGTGATGATAATGTTGGTACTTGTGGTTGTAAGATAATGGCAGTCATGGTGGTTATGGTGTTTGCGATAGATAATGGCGCTAGTGGTGGTGGTTATGGTGGTAGGTGTGGTAATGGTGATGATATTCAAAATGATGATGTAGACTGCTAATCATTATGATTAAATTATTTACCCAAACATATTACTGTAAAAACTTTTTATTGTCCTTTTTTTCTAAACTTTTTGTGGTATTTATAATACAATACAGGCACTACTTGTCCAGAGAAAGCAATGAACCAAACTATTCCTTGTCCAATGGGCTACTACTGTCCCTCAGGAACCACTGATAATGGCCAACCATGTCCAGCAGGTATGCATATGAAGGAATGATAAATTTACGATTAAATATTTTTGCTGAAAGATTAGAAAAGAAAATATTATGGAGATCCAATGGAGTTTATCTGTTTGAATCCTTAATGTTTTTGTTTGTTTTCAGGTACTTTTAGTGACATTACAAGCTTGGTCAATGAGTCACAGTGCCAGGATTGTCTGCGAGGCATGTACTGTGAAACTCCAGGTCTTGCCTATCCAACCGGAGAATGCCAAGCAGGGTACCTTTGCGTTCTTGGGGCCACTGTTTCTGGACCTGATTCCGGTCCTAATGGTCTGTGTCCTGTGGGCCATTACTGTACCAATGGTAAGAGCAATATATATCTACTTTACAAAAAGATATATACAATTTCACAGCTTACGAATCACTTATTGAATTGTGTAACTAAAATAAATATGATTTATTATCATTATTCAATTCAATATTTAAATTGTACAAAATGGATAAACATTACATAGAAATTGCAAAAGTTTACACACCAATACATACAATTTTTTTATGTTTACTATTGTTATTGGTATTTTTTATTTTTATTATCATCGACATTTTTGTCAATGTTGTTATTATTAATATTTTTAAGTATTATGATAATAATATATACTGTAGGTGTAATTTTGCCCTACCTTACGTGGAAATGTACCGAATACTCAGTACATTTGAAAACAACTGCGAAAAAAATCGCAAGTTGTTCTCGGGTGGGACTCGAACCCACGATATCCAGATCACTAGCCTGGCATCATACCTCTAGACCACCAAGCTTGCACCTGATGGCCAGGGTTGAATTTGAGTCCAAGTAAGCAGCGGGTACTGCAGTGTTGATAGGTAGGGGAAAATTACACCTATACATGTTTCTCCTGACGCAAATCCAGTTATTGTCTATTATTCCATCACAACAATAACAATTACTATCAACACTGCAGTACCCACTGCTTACTTGGACTCAAATTCAACCCTGGCCATCATGCGCAAGCTCGGTGGTCTAGAGGTATGATGCCAGGCTAGTGATCTGGAGATCGTGGG